TCAAGTTCTACTTCACTAGAATTTTCAGGACTGAATTTAGTAAGATTTTATTTGAACTGCTGTATTATCAATTTAAGAGTTTTCTTTCATATTGCAGTTATCTATTTAACTATTCTGTGGAAAGGAAAAGGCTATACAAAGAAAATAGAAAAAGAATAGTTCTAATCAAAGCTGAGTACTATGGCAGTAATACTCTTCTTTGTAAGCTGCAAGAAGCATGGATCTATTTGTAACTACTATATTTTATACTTCAGGTTTTGCCTTAAGATTTGCGATGACAATAAATAAGGCTGTCACTGCAACATTCTTTATGTAGTAAAGGAAAATGAATAGTCTACTCTAAAACATGCTAAGGCTGGTAATCTTATGAGTGTTACTTTGCCACTGCAGTTGAAGTTTCAGGCTAGCTCTTCTGCCCAGCTAGGTGTTTTTTTTCAAGAATAGCATGTACATCAAATGGTTTTGTTACTAAAACACAAACGGGCACCCAGACAAGAACAGACAGTAAAATATATAGTTTGACAGACAAAAAAAAATAAAAATCATGATTTACATACATGAAAATGAGCCATAACACTGGCAAGTACAAGATAGTAAAATTTAAGTTAGTTACCTGTGACACAGGTAACTGCACTAATGGCTGAGCTCCACTGCATCATTTTGGTAGGTTTCAGGCCTATTCCAGACACGTACAAACCTGAAAGATGCTTTTATGCACATATTACAGAAAATACTTTTTAATGTCTTCCTGGGTTAGCTAAAAAGAGATCATTACATCATTATTTGCTGCTGGATCAAAACATACATGACTGGAGCCATTCAGTTAAGCAAATAACTATACTGTTATTTGAAGAATGATCCAACATGTCTCTCCATAATAGTGGACTAAAATACCATTTTCATTATTTTTTTATTGAGAAATTAGACACAAGTAATTATATACTTCCACAATAGAGGAAGAAAAGACTGCTGTACATCTAGAGAGGTATGTGCTTGTTTTATGTAGACTCTTTACAAGATAAAGCAACAAAAGCTTTTCTGATGTTGGCAACCATTACAGAAAAATTGTTAGTTTCTCTCACTTTGAGCTGGAGCTCTGCAATACAGTCCAGAGGAGGATTACAGGAAGTCACTAAAACAACATGAATTTCCAAAAGATTAGACTACTATAAAAAAAAATCTGTATTAGTGTTTTTCCACACCTATGAAATACAAAAGCAGTTTATTTTTGTATTTTTTTTACTTCCTCATTAGCCCATTAAATCATTTTCTTTCAGCAGACAAAGCCTCAAACACCACACAATTATTTTTTTTTTCCCTAAGCCTCCCATCCAGTGCTGTGCTCCTGCTTGAATTGTTACAGCAATTCCCAGTAATCCATAGCCTGCTCAAAAATTGAAACACATTCCTTAACATCTCTGTTGCTCTGCAGGAAGGCAGATTGGAAACCTGTGTAGCCCAGCATGTGATAAACTTTTAACTTCATCACAGTTTAGACTTGAATTAATATAACCAGAAACCTATACAGTCCAGGGCACAGCAAAGCAACAGTAATATTTGTCTAGACACTACTCAGCACAGTGCTGAAATTACTGCTACTGTTACTCCTAACTGAAGTAGGATCCCTGTTGCAAAAACAGCTTTAAGAGCTAAAAGGCCCCCTTACAGAGGGGGAATGGTGGATTTCAAGTTTTAATCTTTCTCCTACGTCAAACAACTGTAAGGGCTCCCCTCAGCTAACAGGGAGCCTAGTTTCTCCTGCCTTCTAGACCAACTTGAACTATGCCTGTCAGCATAAACACTCACTTTAGCATTAAGGGAAGAAGCAACAGACTACAACTGACATCTGTTTCTCTGTGCATCTCTCTCCTGGCTTTGCTTGACATAGAATAAACAGTGACTCCCCAATTGGAGGGGAGTGAAGCAGTTGTATTTTCATACACATTAACAAGAGAAGCTACATTTTAAAAAAAAATTACTATTGCCAAATTCATCACTCAAATTGGAAGATAAAGGCTACAACTAAATGGCACTTCATTCCCCTCCCACCCCCTCCCCCCTTTTTTTCCAAATAGGGGCATCAGAATCTGCTTAAATAATTAAAATTCACATACCTTCATAATCTCCTTGTTCATTTATGGAAAAGGTGCACACATATGGTTTGTCAGGATCTTTATGGTCAATATGTCTGAATATAAACTGTAATTGTTCATCTAAAGCAAATACAAACACCATTAACCTCTGCTGGAGAGTCACAATGATGACAAAAAAAAAATCATGATGTGAAGCTACAATTTCTATTAATATTCGTAGAATACATATAAAGTTAAGCAACCTGAGTCTCTCTGAAAGACAAATGCATTTTAACATACTGTATTTTGCCATTTGAGAGACAGTGGTAATACCTGGACTAAGACAACTCTTCAGTTGTCTAAGCTAGGATGTTCTTCACTGCACAATCCAACATTAACCATGTTGTCTCATTGCACATGAAAACTTACTGTGTGTTCTGCGTATCTCCAGTCCAAGCCTCTCTTCATAGAATGCTTTCAACTTGCATAGTTGTTCTTTTCTCTCTTCAATGCTTTTGGGATTAGAAGCTATTGGTAGAATTTTAAAAGCCACCGTGAATACCAAAGTAAATGTGAAACAAGCACATTAAAAAAAATGTTTGTAACAGTAGAAAAACCTATCAAGAACAAAGTGTTGAAAACAATTCCTCCTCTAATCAAGAAAATGCATTCATCCTTTGCTTGCTTACTTTCCTTCTTCATCTGTTCCTTAAGCTCTTGGACACTGTCAGTCAAGTCCTTGTTTTGCTGCTTTTCTTGATTAAGCATAGATTTTATTTCTGTCAAGTGCCCTTCATTTTCCGATATGCTTTCACTCAACTGGAGCATCTCTGAAAGGAGGCAAGTAAATATAACGTATACAGTTGATTAATTAGATCACTGATATTTAGTACTCAATTATATAGTTTGAGATTACTTATTTGAATAAACCCCAGTTAAATGCATGCTACCTCAGATGAGGAGTGAAGTCACCATAATTATACTAAAAGCATCAAATAAAAGCTGAAAGTTACTCAGCAGAGAAGCTACTGAGTAGCGGGTTCCTCTGATACTTTAATCGGATGTAATTTGTTTCTGGTGCCAGCATTATACACATCTTCAAAGCACGAGGATTGTGGATCCTGTACACAGGCAAATTGACAGAAAGCGAGGAATAGGAACACTGACAGTAGAGTTCTAGGTTTAACTACAGATTCAAAGAAGTTAGTCCTACATTGATAGACTGACTATATTCTATTACCAACATGGAAAAGGTGTTAAAAATCCTCACAGTATTTAACTTTACTAAGCAATTTAACTTGTTTTTCCTATTGCAGTCAACAAGTTCCAATACTTTGTTGTTTTAAATATGTAGGCACCAAGACCAGTATACAGAAAACTTCTACTAGACCTTTATTTGCATCAGGAATGAAGTTTTCCAACAAATTGCTTTTGACTTGCAATTTACATCCTGTAAACCAAATGTTTGCTTTTAATTCTACTTTCATTCTGAAGTTGTTTCCTTCCTTTTAAAATGGGAAGTTAAGCATATTATTCAGCTGTGTTAATTTTAGAAATATCAGACACAATGAATCAAACACCATACAGTACCATTGCTATATTCCTGAATTTTATCAATCATCAGGTCCATTTCTTTCAGCTTCTTGGACCATTTCTCTGCAACAAAAAATTATTTCAGTTACCTGAAGAAGTATGATAATTTGAAAAAAGCAGAGGGAAGAGGAACATGGAGCCTTTTTACCTGAAAGTGCTTTTATGAACTCCCTGCATGAATCTCTTAGTGCTCGACTCTGAGTGATTTGGTCACTCACAATGCTTTGTAATTCAGTGCAAAACTCTTCTATTTCTCTTTCGAAGAAAGCTATTTCATCTTCTCCCTTTACGTTGGCCATCGTGCTACAACAAACATGTCAGTGAGTAAATACAGTACCAGAACGCCCAAGCCAATCGCAGCAGATTACAATTACAGGATAAAACTTCAGGGCTGGTTTTATCCCTTCAGGTTGTTAAGGCCTCTTCCCGTAGGTTGTTTTTGTTGTTACCGTTACAATAAGCACTTAACAGCGGGAGCAGCGTTTCTTCTGCTTCTCCACCAGCGATGTGCCAAGAGGAGGCCCTGCACTGCATTGTGTTCGGGACTGTCGCTGTACCAGCAGCCGCTCCCGGGGGCCGGCAGGGCCGCGCCGCGCCTCGCCTCGCCTCCACAGGGCCGCTCCCACCCTTCGCTGTTCTCCCGCGGGGCTTACCGCCTTCTCTGTCCGACCGGCTGACAGCAGCAGCCGCCCCTGTGCTGCAGTACGGCGGTGCACTGCCGAGCCGAGCCCTGCCTGGGGACTGAGGCGGCACGGAAGGCAGAACACCAAGGCCGCCCTAACCATCAGCTTTTAAACCGCCAACATCTTCCCGCCTCCTCAATAGCTGCTTCCTAACTGGCCACCGCTTCTGCCCGCCTGGCAACAAGCGGGCTGCTGATTGGTTCAGTTTGCCCTTAGCTGAGGCCGGAGGCGCAAGGTGTGTTGGGAGTTGTTGGGGCGTTACTGAGGTAACGGTCCATCCTGGAGGGAGGCGGAGCTGCCATGACGGGAGGGAGGGGTGGTGCAGCCATGGGGCCGGTTGGGGTGTGCCGTGGGGTCGGTGTTGGTGCTGCGAGGGCGAAGCAGCTGTAAATCGGCCACCTTTCCCTGGGAATTACCTGTTGGATTAAGACGTATTCTCAGGGACTGCTGAAGGGTGGCGGTTGTGCTGGCTGCCGCGGCGGGGAGCGAGGCCGGTCGATGGGGAAAGCCTGCTGCGGTTTGTGCGGTTTACGGTTCCGTACTGAACGAAGTCAGGCTTGAACTGGGGAGCAGGTTAGCTTCTTTACGTTCCTGTGAAGTTAGAACTTGTTTCCAACCTTACATTTATTCCCGGAACGTACTTCGAGTAACTTAGTTGTGAACGTAATGCATAAACAGAAATACAGCCTCGTGACCTAAACTAGCACAGGTCATATGCTGCTTAAATCCTCCGTTAGGTCTGATTAGGGACGGTGTGTAATCAGAAACACTAGCGCCTAACCTTGCAGTAACTCTAGCCCAGACATTTGTTCTGATTTGTTTTTTCCCCCCTCAATTTCTGTTAGCAAGCCACAGGGTAGTCATGGATGTATGAAGTTTCCATAGTGATTTACCCTGGTTTTAGCACTAAAAGCTTTGCTGGAGACACTGTAATTGTACCGTGTAACCCTTTTCTGCACGTGCCAGCTCTTCAGGGATGTCTTTGTAACCCAAGGGTACTCCGTTACACTTCAGGTCCGGAGATGTACAAGGACAGCAGCAGAGCGACAATTAACCTGCAGTCAAGCTTAAGGGCAGGCTACTGCCAACCAGGATTTGTTGCTTTATTTTATTGCTACCTCAGAGTCCATATGGGGCTATTCCAGAGCTGGGGGAAGGGGTAACTGAGAAATATAGCTCAGGATTGGAGAGCTAGTGCAGCTTCAGTGGAAACTGCTAAGGGAACACAAAATTGAAGAGGTGCTGCTAATAAACAGGCTCAGCAGCTTCTTTGGGTAGGTTTCTGACCTCACTGGACTAAGGCTGGCATTAGGCTAATTTCAGGGATTAGAGAATGGCAATAAACAAAGCAGTGATGTTAAATGAAAAGGAACAAAACCAAAAAGATGCAGTGTTGCCCCTGTGGGTCCAGACTCCATTTCTGCTTGCAGTTTATGGAGCTTGAAGGATTGTTATTCACTGTTGGAACTCTAGGTTGCCTGTGATTTCTAAAAAGTCATAGTAACTAGAATTCCTTAGATGTGACTTTTCTGTGAACATGCCAGAATTGCATTCTGTGTGTTGTTTGTATCATTTATGCTTACGCATACAGACACACACAAATATAAGCAAGTATTAAGGTGTGGCAGTTACTGTATTGCAAACAGAAGATTTGTTAATTTCCTGTATTTGCATAGTGAACTTTATAGCAAGGGATGATGACAGTGTGGTAACTAGGAGGATTAGATTAAGATGGAAGAACCAAGAGAAGGTAGCTGTTTCAGGTTAGTATTTACTAAACCTCTACTGGCCAGTCCAACCCTAAAGAAGCTTGACCTTAACTACGGCCACCTGGGTTCAGTGAGGAATGCTTGAGGGAATGAAATGTAGAAAAAGAGAAAGAAAGAGCTTCTTGAAAGGTTCTTTTCCTAAATCTAAAATTAAGATGTATCTTCTCAGTATTCCATTTGGAAAATAATCATATCTAAGAAAATAGCTGTCAGCTGTTGTATACAGTGTGCCTGTGAATTTACTAAATTGCTGCTTAATCCTTGTTGCTGCTCCAGTACCAGTGGAAACACTGATGTGGAAATTAATGTTATTGTTCAATTAACTAAGCATAATGTACCAGAAAGTTCGTCCTGGTACATAGGCCTCCATTAACAGTGTTTTAGAAAATGTTTGCTTTGATGGCTTTTCCTTCCCTTGCAAACATTTGCTTAATAACATCTGATACCTGTTATGTAATATTTGCTCTAATATGTAGGTGTAAAGCAGCAGTAAACAGTTTATCCTCCCTTCAGTGGATCATCAGCACGATTCTTGTTCCTACATTTTTATCAAGCATCTATAAAGTTTTGGATAGTCTCTGGTTTTGTATGTCTTGGGAAACAAAATATATCAGGAAAATACCAATTAATTAAAAACTTTTTATAATGAACAGGTAGTGTTTTAAAGGTTTTTGCTTTGCACTAATAATTTATTTGATTACGTGAAGGTCAAACCTTGGTTCTGTAATATCAAAACAAAGCTTTGATTTAGAAACTTAACAGCACGCACATTCTGACCATTTTGTACAGAGCACTATTTTTCCTCACAATTCAAAGTACAAAAATACAGCAGATAGTTTTATTTCATATATTATCCCAAGTAAGTTTGAAACACTAAGTGCATTACAGAAGCATTTTGCAATGCTTTTCATAAAAAAGGGAGGGAGGAAGCCTTTTGAGGGAGTATTTATTTTTTTGTTAGTTTAAAGAAGTTATTTAATACTTCAAGACATTTTGCCATCTTTGGTTATTAGAGCTAGGAAGGTCTTTAATGTTTCAGACTTGTAGGTTGTGAAATATCACAGGCAGGACAAGAGATGACTTGCTTGTCAGTTGCTGACAAACTCTTGGATGAAGCACAATCCATTGTGCTTCCAGGCACAGTGAAAGCATCACCTGAACTCCTGCTCTCACAAAAACCTGTTTACCTGTTTCAAAAACTTCCTGCTTTCTGTTTGTAGATTTGGATTTGGTTGGTTTTTTTTAAACGTCTTTTATTAACGTGACTCCATGTCTTAACATGGATATAGGAGCTTTTGAAACACAAATAACTTAGGAGAAAACTGGAGATTGTTTATGTTTGCTGTTAGTCTTCATTATGTCTAAGGTGCTTTCTATATAAGCAGAAAGATAATCATCAGCAAGATCTTTAAAAAGAAAATCAGTAGCAGGAGGCCTTTAGCATTTAAACTAGAAGAGGTTACTTCACTGCAACATTGCCAAGGCATACCTTCACAGGTTATATTAACAAAGTTTCTGGAGAACCAAAATGTGCCTGAGTGGCTCTGTCTAAAGAGTTTAGCCTGAGCAGCTGCAGCACTATCCCAGTGGATAACATAGGTGAGTGGATTTGTATTTATAAATAAAAAGAACATGCAAAAAGTTCCTGTGATGGTTCTGCACATCCTGTGTCAGTCAGTTTTTCTGATATTATTAACAATGGTGGCATTAAAGAGAGACTGTAAAGTGATCCATTTTATTACTTGGTAGGCTCTCCTGAGGAGATTAAATTGACTCTTGATGGAAACTTATTTATTGCAAAATATTTTCCCTAATGAAACAGTAGTTATTTAGACTTACAGTTGCTGTTTTAACTACATACTAGAAGATGACTTAGCCACCAACTGACTTGATATTTATACAAATTATTCTTTATAATCGAGACTGGTAAACAGAAGAAAACCTCAGATTCTTCACATTTTTGCATACTAAGCCCAAACATGCACAAAAGAGTGATTTTTTTTTTTTTTCTTTTTTAATTGTTGTTCTAAATCCTGTGTATCTTTAAAGGAGAAATACTTTTGCAGACAAAAAATGTGGCGAAAGAACGTTTTTTTTCTAGTAACATGGTATAAAAAGTTACTTGAGAGAGAGATGTTTCTAAACAAGTACATTCTTGGGAAAGAACTGGGAGAGAGAAAAATTCCATCAGTTTTATTTATATGACAGTTCCCTTGCTGGATGCCCTGCAGTGCTATAAGCTGTACAGCTTTGGTTAGCAAGAAACAAACCTCCCCAAATATTTGCAGCTAAAAAGCTAGGAGAAACTGTTGAAATTTCCTGAAATTTTGGGGTTGGAAGGGTTTTCCTTGAAATCAGGTGATACCAGTGGAAGTGAATAATTCAGTCAATGTATGCAAAAATGTTATAGCAGTTCTTCAGAAACAGTGCATATAATTTAAAATCACTTTTTAACTCTAAGGTTTTCTACCTGGCTCAATGCAGTGGGTAGCAGTAAACATATATAGGATTAAAATCTGCTAGAAAGTTTCTAAAACCAGACTATTAACAGCTAAAGTAAAAGCAAGTAGCTGAAGTAAATGTGAGACTGTGTCAGGAAGAAAGGTCTTCTAAGTCCATTTAATTGTCATGCCTTATTTGCTGAATCTGCTTAATGTTTCCATGTGACTTCCCTGACCACACATCATAAAGCTGAGTTAAGCTGCTAAGTCTCTCTTCAGCAAAACCAGTTAAGTAGTTTGTATCTTTGTCTCCACAGCTTGTATAGTTTAAATGCCATGCTGAAAGCAGTGCACATATACAGCTGCTTTTGTTTTTCTGATTTTAATTGTTGCAGATACATAGATAATCTTTAGTAAACGATATTAATATGTCTGAATATTGGAGCCTGATAAAGAGCTGAAGTTTTCTTCTTGTTGCTCCAATGATATCAAATGATGGTATCGTCAGACTCTTGGTATCCATTTAATCTTATCTGGAAAAGAATTTTTCATGTAGCCGCCTCACAAACTAACATAAGCTTTTCTTATGCTACAGTTATTAGTACTAATACTGATAAATCTCATGTGCTAATATGTTATTTGCTGTATACTCTTAAAATCCTGCTATCTGGGAGAATCTCAGTTGCCCCTTGGCTGTTTGCCCTGGAGAACCTAAGTGTTTCACTCGTAAATGCTTCAGGGAAATACTCCTCACCATCTGCTCCCAGGCTTGCTCTGGTTTGCACAGCAGGTCAATTTCTGCCAGGCTGGGCAGCAAGAAGGGGGCCTGCAGGAGGTTGGGCTTCAGCTCCTTCTAGCAGGCCTCGTGTAAGCAGCGTGCAAGAATGACAGTACTGAATAAGATGACTTGTAGACTAAGCTTCATCTGCGTTTTGCCTTGAATTAACGTGGCCTCTTGTATAATGGAAACAATTGTTTTTCAGTGCTTTGAGAATATTGCTGCTTTAAAAAATAATCTAGATCTCAACAGCATTGTTGATGTATGCCGGCTAGCTTTATTTTCCATGGCTGAAAATACGTTGTGCAAAGTATTAGTCATGGCATGGTAGCCAAATTCTATTTTGAAGTGAAACGTACAGCTTTGATGACAGTTCTGCAAAGACCAATTAATTGTGTATTCTTTCTATCCTTTATACAGGCAACACTTAACAAAGTATACACATCACTGATGTCCATCCTGCGGAGAAATGAACTGTGAGAAAATTCAAGCAAACATGTTCCAACTGTTCATAGAGAGGATTGCGTACGTTACACATTGTGTTTCCACAAAACTTTCCCCACAATTTGCTGCTGCTCAGCACATAGTTCACTTAGCTTTCTCCAATTACAATTTGCAAACAGAAAAGCTTTCCAGTGCTAACAGACTCATGTACTTTCCTGGAGTTTGAGAGCCACGTGTTCCAGAACGGCTGGGTACACGGTGCTGATACAATATAAAGGCAACGTCAATCACCTGCTCTCATTTTTTAATAGCTCCCCTCCGTGGTTCTTATTCTCCATCACTAGAAACCTAAGTTTAAAGGAACTTTACTATTTCAAGTGCAGTTTAATCCATTAAGATGGATCTCCTTCATAGCAACGGCGTGCTTATCATTCAGCATTTACAGAGGGACTACAGGGCTTACCAGGATTTGCTTAATTTTATGTCACACATTGGTGATCCCCGGAATATATTCTCAATCTATTTTCCTCTTTGGTTTCAGCTCAACCAAGTGGTTGGTACTAAAATGATATGGGTGGCAGTCATTGGTGATTGGTTCAACCTCATATTTAAATGGTAAGAAGTTGGATTTATTTTAAAATATGGTATTTTTAATGATGGTTAATATATGTGCCTCAAGCTTAGAAAACTTGCTTTGAATAATGTACTAGTAGACTTTGCCCTGTAATTGTAAAACAGGAATTCACAATGAAGATATTTAACATATGTTTGAAATGACATTTTGATAAGACAAGAACATCATATAGAACTATTACAGAATAATTTTGGCAATATAGCTCTTTGTATTCCTTGTAAGAGTATTTATCATGCTTTACTGAGGCCTTCTCACATACAAATATTTTTACTGTGTTTCTGCCTTTTTTTTTTTTTTTTTTGGTCAGGATTTTATTTGGCCATCGCCCATACTGGTGGGTGCAAGAAACAATGATTTATCCCAATCAGTCAAGCCCATGCCTTGAACAGTTTCCTATAACATGTGAAACTGGACCAGGTAAGAAATATTTGAGATTACATTGGCACATTTAATACAGGTAGTGGCTTTTTTGGGGGAGAGGGTGTGACTTTTATAAATCTTGGAGCTCATGTCTAAAATAGCAGCAAAACACAGGAAAAGAAAAAGGAGTAAATAAAATGTGATAGGTTTGCTTTAAAAATAAACCCTGCTAGCATGAACCAGCATATCAGAGAGGAATTACAAAACCTGTGTCATGGGTTCAAAAAGAGTGAGTTGCCTGCTTTGAGAGATTATTTTTAGGAACAGTTGCAGTGCCAGTGACATCAGCTTGAGAAGAGAAATACCACGTTGTCTAAGAGTGTTCCAAAACAGACCAGGGGGCCATTGAGTTTGAGGGCTTGTGCACTATTGCAATGATTATTCAAACCATAAAGAGGTAGTAGGTGTTCAGAGTGAATAACAGTACTGTCAACAATCAGTCATGTAATGTATCACAAGGGGAAATGGAACCCCTCTCCCCAGAACCAGACACTGGCACTGAATGGAGGACACACACTTATGTGTATAAATACGGGGTGGGGGGATTCTTAAAAAAAAAAAATAATAAAAAAAAAATGCACCTTTTTGATGTATTTTCACTTTTTTAATCTCATTGTCTTCTCTGCAATATTGCTCAAGTTAAATGAGCTTGTGCAACCCTGCCTAATATGAAATAAGGTAAACTTGCTTGGAGCTAACTGACTGAATTTAGTTTAATTCCTTTTACAAGAAAATATTGACTGTGGAAACGAATGTGCTGAATGCCTCGTGAGGGCCACTGCAAGCTTTTAAGGGAATTGCAGAGCTGTATTTTGGTAACAGTATCCTGCATTATATCCCATTGTAATACTGAACTAGAAGCTTAAGCCCTTGTACCAGGCAGGTTTCATAATGTTTCAAATGCAGTCTGTTTCAAGTGAATTTATTTGGGACCTAACCCAAAGTATTAAATTCCTTCAGATATTTTCAAAAGCCTTCAGAACTTAGCCCATTCAGAACCATGTAATTCCAAGCCCTGGCTAAGGAACCAGTGTGTTTCATTTTGATTCATTGAACCAGAAGGCCTTTTTTTCCCATTATTTTCTTTCTGAAGTAACAAGTCATTCCTGTTTCTGTCCAGTGGGTACAACTGTCATACTGATTCCTGGTTTTCTTATAATGGCCACATTTTCTCCCACCTCCAGATTTGCCCTTGACCATCAACAATATCTCAGGCACCTTTCCCTCATTAACAGGAGGAGGTGCAGTCAGCACAGCTGTTAGGTGCACACAGTCACTGTCTGAGCCTACACTGTACTTCACGCACTTTTAAAATGTGCAGTTTACATGAAAAGATTAGAGAAGCAGCTGCAGGTGTGAGAAAGGCATATCCAAATGCTGCTAACCCCAAATTCTGCGGCTCAACAAAAGGCAAAGCTGAAGGAACTGTTTATATGACTACATGGCAAGCAATGTAGGACCTGAGTTTGGTTTGTACCTCTGGAATGAGCTGAACCAAAAAAAACAGAGCCATCTTTTCTCTGGTATTTGTAAGATAAGATATGTTTTTGAGAACATAAACCTTAAACTGGAGTTGGTGCTGCTTCTAGTCAGTAATTTGCAGATGAGCTATGAAATGTTTTTCCTAGATTACATTTTCCTTGATGACAACAAAAAAGCTTTCCCAGTGCCAGTATACAACATTATGGTTTCCTTATCAGTGATGTTTGTTCCTTTGTGAGGTTTAGAAGTGTACATCTGTTCTGAAATGAACAATATAGTTGGTAGCTTGACTACTAAAGATACTGCCAAGCAGAGTACCAAAAATAAGTAGAGGGAGCCAGGAATGATTGTGCTTGTCCTCCCTAAACATTCCAGCTTTGCTGCTTCAATGAAATATTCTTTTGCTTTGCTAGCTACTACATAGTGCTGGATCGTAACACATTCTACAGCCAAAATAATTTCTTCTGCCCATGAAATAACCCTGTCCTTTTTACTTCTTCTTTGTCCCCACAGAAAGCCAAAGCCAAACTGTTGAAGTCTGGTATAGACAGATTCCAATGATCTGTTTTTTTTCTCCTTCCCTGGTGAACAGGAGAAAAGAAGTAATTTTAGGAATTGCTTCCCTTGCATCATGCCAGCATACTTTGTAATTTGGCGGTTTCTGTGGTTGTAGGAACTTCTCTATGGCTTCGTATTGCTTCCAGCAAACTTAAAATTTGATTCACTAGATTAAAACAAATTACACAAGTATTGTTATATCTAGACTAAAAAGAAATCACTATTGATCTGTATGACAGTGTGTTCCCTGTTATAGACTACTGTGAATACAGCCATTATTCCAGTATGTTACAGCATCATTTCACGTGCCAGTTCCACTAATAATGTTTCCAAGCTATTTGAGGTTGTACACTACCTTAAAATTTGTAAAATAAGTCCAAGTAAAGCATAAAGACACAGTTCTTCCATCACACTTTAGATACAGTTCTAAATTTATTACAAAACTACCTAAAATGTTAATTACTAATGAGACACAGATCATAATCTCAATTGCTAATGCCATGGTCATTGGCAAAGCAGACAAGAGGCAATTTGGAAGGGCCATCTAAAGTTGTACTGGTAATTTAATTTAGAATGTTATAAAAACCTAAATCTCTGTTGCACCCCTAATTATGAGGTAGCCCATTCAAAACCTATCTCATCCAATCCTCATATGAAACTTCTCTCTTACAAGCCCTAAGAGACCCCTAGATGCTTTTTTTTAATGCACAATCACAATCCAAGGCTAAGTAAGAAAAATACTATGCTTTCCAATCAAGACACCAGTATAAGATGGTTAAGCTGTTATCAATTTATTTCAGACAAATAATCTGGATTCCCTTTGGATGAGTCTTCTGAAAAATTAGCTTTTGAGAGGTAGTTGATATTCTTTAAGTCTTTGCCAGCCATTCTCTTTCTGAATCATGAGGTGCTTGAGGAACTGCCAGTAGACATTTTCTATATCACAAATGTTATGGAAATATTTCCTTTTTGTTTTCACTAGGAAGCCCATCCGGACATGCCATGGGATCTTCTTGTGTCTGGTATGTAATGGTCACTGCAGCACTTAGCTACACAGTTAGATGGAAAGATAAATCAGCAGTTAGCCTTCACAGGTCAGTGTCTCTGCTATTCTCACTCATGCAGATGTTTCTTTATACTTATGCTCTGGTTTTAATGGACTTATGTTAACCAAATACTCAAAGTCTGCTCTGTCCAGCTTGTAAAAAACCAACCAACCAAACACACACACACACACACACACAAAAAAGAAACAACCACCACCAAGAAAAAAAACCACCACAAAAAACCAAACCAACCCTTTATTATGGTCTGCTTCAGCTGAAGAAAAAGAATATTAAGAGGATTTATCCATTTGTATAGCTTGATGTTTATTAACTTACAGTCACAGCATAAAATTTCTCAATTAGCTCCTAGTAAAGGTTGTGTCATCGGTGTTGAAAATTTTGAATTCTATTGTCTTTATGTGTTGGATCTTTTGGTTAATACATAAATTTACTGTTTTGATGGATGCTGCCTTGGCCCATTTTAAAGCAAATGTGCATAAAGCTGGCAAAGGTCAGTGCAGCATCTTGTTCAACCCTGTGGGGAACTCTTATAACTTCTTTGATGGCTGTTCTTTCCAAGGTTGTTCCCATGTGATGTGAATTTTGCCATCAAATAATTGGACTTTTGCATTTAGATATGACTTCATGATAAGAAATATGTTCAAGGTACTAGTGCTAATTTAACTTACCATTGATGACTTTTATCGCTAAAACCATGGTGGTGTCTTGGAACTAAAACTACTGGGGTGTGTTCCTGCAGCCATAGATGTGGCTGCAAGAGCAGACACTCTTGGTAATGTTTTAGTACCAGCTTCTGGTTTTTAGTCACCTGATCGTAAACTTTTCTACTTGTCACCCTCTGCTTGGTAAAAATATGAGCCTGACAGAAAGGAGCCTGGTGTAAATTAGTAGGTGAAATCTTGTCTTATTTTTCCCTTTTAGACTGACATGGTCATTCCTCTGGAGTATTTTTTGGATTATACAGATCAGTGTGTGCATCTCAAGAGTATTCATAGCAACGCATTTCCCTCATCAAGTTGTTATTGGAGTATTTGCTGGTAATGCTGCTACGTTTTTCTTTTCAATGTATATGCAAAATCTGAGAAAAATGAAGCATGAAAGATGGCAAGAGCTTTTTAGTAGTGCTCCTTAGCTTGCAGCTCTAGTGGTGCTCTTCTCTCTCCAGAAGGATGTGAAGATGATAAACTAATGGTAAAATTTGTGAGGTATCTACTGTCTTTGTAACTGACACAAGGAGAGAGCCCTTGACCATGTGTCATTTGATGCTGCACACTGCCACAGACTAGCTCCAGCTGGTGTGGCTGCACCTGATCTTTGTTGGGCCCTCTTAGGGGGAAGCTATTTGGTTCACCTCAAATGGTGTCTAGGCATAAACTACCATGTGTGCAGTGTGGGCAAGCATGGAGCCAGAGGCCTGGAGCAAAACAGAAAACGGCAAACTAGCAGTGCAGCCTCCCCAGGGTGATTTAAGAAGCTAATGAATGTTTCTCAGAGTTACTTAAACATGTTTCGAATTGGTATTTAGGGAGTTCTAACTATGAACAATCTCTCTAGTGTTTATTTGCTCGTGTGGAGGGTCTTGAGCAGAGCACTGACTGGGGGCTGCCTGCTCCCATTCTCTTTTATGGATACATAGTAGCCTGAGTGGCACTGGCTAAGAGCCTGCAGTCCAGCTCTCCCTTTTCATAACCAGGATAAAATGAGTAGGAAAGAAGGATGTTCTGTGTCTTTTCCTTCAGCACTCAAAGCTTGTGTTGGAACTGGTATTAAATTCTGCATTGCTGGGGCCAGTCTTTCAGTGAGGAACTCTTTTGGAAAAGGAATGTTCTAGTTTAAATCTTTGATAGGCTTGACTGCACCTCCCAAATGACAACCTAAGTAGTGCCTCATACCAAAGTCATGTAGTGCTTGGTACTGAATTGCTTTTTTTTTTTTTTTCCAAATTAGCATTTTTGAGTGGGGAAAAAAGGCTTTGTACTGTACTACAGAAATGGTAAATTGTATGTGGATCTATACTTACCTATATAGAAAATACATATCTTCCGAAGTCAAGTTCTGCAGGGGCACTATAAGAAGGGCTTCTTCAAAGTACAAATAAATTGTTCTTTGTAACACCGAGTTTCTAATCTGCAGGCATTCTGGTGGCAGAAGCATTTGAGCATACATCTGCTATTCAGACAGCGAGCTTGGGAATGTACATCAAGACAAACTTGTTTCTTTTCATCTTTGCCCTTGGCTTTTATCTAGTCCTCAAGCTTCTTGATATTGACTTGCTATGGTCTGTTCCAAAGGCCAAGAAGTGGTGTGCCAACCCAGACTGGATAAACATTGACACAACTCCATTTGCTGGACTGGTGAGGAATTTAGGTGCACTCTTTGGCTTAGGTCTCGGAATTAATTCTGAAATGTTCATCATGAGCTGCAGAGGTAAAAATAGCTGTAAGATAAGTTTCCGTGTGGTGTGTATAGCTGCTTCTTTAGCTACACTGCAGCTGTATAATTTCGTTAAGATACCTACTCATACTGAATATTTGTTCTACATTCTCTCTTTTTGTAAGAGTGCAGCTATGCCTCTGACTGTAGTTGCATTGGTTCCATACTGTGTCCACTCATTAATGAGGAAAACTGAAAAGAAACTTAATTAGATAGAGTTTCCAGATGGTTAGCCATGAGGGGATGGATATGAACTGGTCAAGAACCCTCAACAAAAGGCAGTTTTGCCAAGTCATTTTATCCCAAGGGGATGCCAATGCATCTTTGATGTGCTTCTGGTAAGTAGCTAGTGCATCCAAGATCAGTGCATTCAAGAATGACCTTGCCAGCTCAGAAATACTAATTGCTGTTGGCTTTTTTTCCCTAGAAATATTGCAACCACACTGCAGTATGGTTAGAAATAACCCAATACTCTGGGTCATAACAAAGTTTCAAAGTATAATCTATTAGTTTTATGTAGCTACTTAGTGGTCTTTTAGTTCTGTCCATCTCCAGCTAGCTGATGCTTTGAGCCTCAGTTATACATAGTGATACTCAGTATTTAATTTTATGTATATACAGAGAGAGATAATTGTGTGTTAAAACTGCTAGAGAAGGGTATGATAGTGTCACACCCCCTCCAACTCTACAGCTGTACACTGTGAAAAAGGACAGCATAGTTATAAAGAAGACTTCAGAGTTAACTTATTGAGCTTCCTGAGCAAAACAGCTTCTGATTAAGCCAGATGATGAAAAATACTGAATGTTTCTTTTGATTAGATTCTGTAGAATATATTTTTGCGTTACTGTGTGTTTTTTGTCATTTCTGCCTTTTGAAAGCAGTCACATGAATCATGGCTGATACAGATTACACCTTTAATGTTGAAAATGCATAAATATGGTGTAACAAATCTTTGGATTCTGTACATCTGCACAGAGCAACAAATGAAGAACGCTGTCAATAATGAAATTATCTCAGCATAGCACCTTGAGAATGTTGTCCAAGTTCCTGTATTGCAAAGGTAAATTAGTCTAGTTCTCTCAGGTCAAGTCAAGTCACACACCTGAGTTGCTGGTAGCAGTTGAGTAAATCATGACAATGCGATTGCAGACTGTCACTGCACGTTTATATTCTTGTCAGCTTTGTTTACCTAAGTACACAAGTTACTCATATGTTAAATATGTTTGCTATATAAAATGGATATTCTAAATAAAGGCAGGTATTTTCTTTTTTTATTCATTATTTAGCATATAGTGTTGCATATTCATTTCCAGCGCAGAATCTTTAAGCAGTATTTTGCTGATGCCATCTCAGAAGACATAGTATACAAGCAGCATAAAGCTGTAATGTGGGTAATGAGGGCAGTGTATGTATGATCTGGCAGCAGTAAGGCTTAAAAGACGTAAGGATGATATTGTTTCTAGACTTCCCGTTAGTTGCGTGACAATTGAAAGAATTAATTGGGAAAATAGGTGAATAGCTTGAGTTGGCCCTTAGGAATGAACATGGTACAAATTACAGAAGCAAATCTTAAACAGGCATCCTTACTCAAGTGCCTGCTAAGACTGCCTTAAGAAAATTAATCATCTGGTTTTAACAGTGTGAGGAGTATTGTACTTTATGCATCTCCTGACATCTTCTTAAATGGTTCTCTGAACCCTTTTTTCCCATAGCAGGTGTCCTGAAACCACTCTGTTCTATAGTTGTGACTCCTTAAGCAAAATTATTAAGCTAATGGGACTAGAAGCAAATAATGAAGTACAAAGACAGCTATGACATTGATTTCTGTCATGTTCAGGTTGCTGTGTGCTTTGTTGTTCCCTGCTGGTGAGGTGGCCTACAGAGGCATTACAAAACTCTAGGCTGGTCTGGGTATCCTGTTCCTCTCTCCTGACCAACAGTAAGGGATTCTTTGTGCACAGCTGTCTCTGCCTCTTGCTGCAGTGCTTGGGCCTGCTGGCGGGGTTGGCTGTTTTAAGATGCGAGTTGTGAGCAGACATCACATTTCTAAGTTCCTACCACGAGAGTCTGTGCTTCCCAATGCTGACAGAAGAATCTTGGTGCTTCTGTTTGTTAGGATAGACATAACTATAAATGTAAGATGACAAGTATTTCTGCAGTATTGTTCAAGGCACTGTACAGACATGTGAGAAGATACGGGTTTTCTCTTGCTGTCCTGTTAATTCTGCCCACAACTTCAGTTCTTCAGGGAAAGGAACAAAGATGAGTTTCCTGTCTGAGCCACCTCTTATTCTTTCTACAGCTATTAAAACATTACTAAAACCAAGAATGGTGCCCATGTAGCTGTGCTCCTGCAAGGAGATGGCAGGCTCCTTTGGAGGCAGGGGCTAGTCTAGTTGCATTGGTCGTCTCAACAGCTCTGTCCTGCACAGCAGACCCTTGTGACAGATATGATCCAAAATCACAGAAATACTTGTTACCTGCTGCAAGATACTCATCTGCTTGTCTGAAGGATAAGAGGTGAAGCACTAAAACACAAGAGCCAGTAAAAAAATACAATTTATTGGTATAATTTGGGCCACAAAAGTGATGTGCTTTATGAAGAAAGAATCATGGATGAAGTACATGGTCACTGTAATTTTTTATAGAGTTGTTACTTTTCCATGGCCTAATATAAATTAATGTCTTATAGATATGTCAATAGGTTATTCATAGTCACTCTGTCAATAGTTTCAGTCCTGAGCCATCCAACTAATTATTGCTAAGAAACATAAAAAGGCTAAAAAGATTAAACCATGAGCCAAGTAATTCAGCTGCTTCTTCCATTTGTAGTTAAAGATTAAAAAAACAGGCTTCGTTGGCAAAACAGTATTTCAGTGTCAGCTATGTGAGTTCAGCTTGTCTGTTGAAGTAATAGAGTTGTACAAAAGTTGAAATTGTTTCTTTCTGTCTGGAATTAAGGGAAGTATCTTAATAAAGTGTTCACCCTTACAGCTCCATTCAAGTTTGCAGTAGCTGGTATTGTGGTGTAGATTTATAAGGAGCTCAACTGTGCTGGGATTTGTTCTAAAATGGGTGAACCCTTCCCCCCCACCCCCCCCCAGCTGCAGCTTTTAGGACATGGAGAATGACTTTTCCAGTTAATACTCTATGATTCAAAGATTTAAATTAAAGATTTAAATTTTTACAGAAACTTAGGCTTTCTGTCTCGGCTTTGTCTCCAAGGCCCTAAATGTCACTAAAGGGAAGAGTCCTGGTGTCCTGCAGACAATAACCAATAACATATTTCAGAGAAACATGCAGTAGACCTTATAACACACTGTTACAGAGACAAGCTTCTGCCAGAAGATCCTTTCTGACCTTTGTCATTTCTGAATTAATTGTGCCTCTGTTTATCAGCTCTGTTTAAGACCTAATTATGGGTATTTGTTCCACCTTTACTGAACATACTTATGATTTCTGTAAAACTACTCATCATTGTCTTTCTTTCTGAAAGAAAAAGAGGACATATTATCCATTACCATCTCTATAGAAGTGATTTAAATAACTGTGATGATTAACTGTTGGATTTTACAGTGATTTAACTAACGCATTTATTCCTATTCAAAATCTATTTGACAGTTTTGATCAGTGGTGAGAGTGTAGGGCAAATGATCCTCACCAGCTTCTGCTCTTGACTGCCTTCGTTACTTGTATGGAGCTGCCTTCTTTGTAAGTACAGGATTTTTTCTGAAGGGGCACAGCCAGACCAGGCTCATGGTGCCAGTGCATCAGTGCTGTCCTGGCACACAGCAGAAGCCCAGCCTGACAGATAAGAGTTGAAGGGGTGCAAGGGTGTGGGTCTGTACCCACAGCACAGTAAGGGTGACTGTTGTAATCCTCTGCAGACCAAACGTCAGGAGAGATTTGAGCGCTTCAGATATACAGCAGCATTCTCAGGATTATTTCTTACTCATATAGCTTACCTAGCCAAATAGCAGTTTTCAGAGCAGTAGAGCAGAGTTGTTCCTGATAGCTAGTTGAGGAAAGACAGGACTGTGCAGTCTGACTGCAGGTGGTGGCAATTCCCCAGCAAAGATCTTGCTCATTTTCAGGCTTTTTTCCCCTTAGCAGTGGGCTAAGCTACTTCCTGAATACATCACCCTGTGCTTAGTCCCCTGGATGTGCCTGACAAGCGTGCTTGATGCAGAAGGCTATGTACATTTAGGGTACACAGAACTCACGATGTTATAGAGCATTCTATAGCACAGTGGGGTCCCAACACAGAAAAGCAGTCTTTCACAATTAGAATCACAGTGGCTCAGCTAATTGGGGCTCCAGTGGTAACAAGCTTGTAGTAAGCTCCTTCTATTGCCATCAGTTCATCATGAGTGCCCTTTTCAATGATGGTTCCTTGTGACATCACAGCGATGATGTCTGCATTCTGGATCGTGGACAGACGGTGGGCAATGACGATGCAGGTACGCCCTTCTCTGGCCTTATCCAGTGCCGCCTGCACAGTCTAAAGGCAGCAGACCAAGTGTCAGTTAAAATATGCAAACCAAAGAAAGTCTCAGGTGGAGAAATGTGATTTTTTCAGATTAATTAACTGTATTTGGGCAACACTTGTAAAAGTGACTGTGAGGCTAAATCAAAGGTCCGGTTACTAGGTGTACTTAGCTGGATTTATTAGCAGTGCAAAAAGGAACATCCTGGGGTAAAGGCTGGACTTGATGATCTTAAAGGTCTTTTCCAACCTAGTTGATTCTGCTTCTATGAGAAGTAAACATGGACAGCAGTAGAAATTAAGGTACGCCTTTATTCAGCTGACATAATGAATGTCAGCTAGTGGGTGTTCTTAAATTTTCACTACTTCTCTATTCAGGGTGTAACCAAGTTAAGCAAATTATTGCCCAAGTTCTTGGCCCCCTTCATTTCTGTTTTTATTGGGCATTCAAGGCCCATTTTTGGCATGCTTGAATATACTTTAGTTTATTAATGTGCAGAAGTTATATTCATGAGGTATTACCACTGAATGCTCTGAAACCCAGGGAATTAGCATGCACATTTCTGGAAAGTGCTACCTGTCACTGGCAGTCTGAGAGTTCGTGTAGCTGGTGGCTATTTTATAGCTGTGCTTCCTGGATCTCCCGCAAAGCCCATTAAGGGTGTAAGTAAGTGCCAAATTAACAATGGGATGTAATACTGAAGTCATGCAATGGAGCACATTGGCATGTCTCTAAAGAACAGAAAAAGTCATTGTAAATTGTAAGCTGTTGTATTAACTTTCCCTTATTGCCTATCCCTGCACATTTACCTTTTCACTTTCTGTGTCCAAGGCAGATGTAGCTTCATCCAGTAATAAAATTTTAGGATCTCGTATGATGGCCCTTGCTATAGCAATGCGTTGTTTTTGCCCACGAGACAGCTGAGATCCTTGAGCCCCAACATTAGTTTCATATTTCTGAAAATACACAAAAGGATGATTTTATTGAGGTGTAGGCAAACACACCAGTGCACAACCTGAAGGAAGAGCAGGAGAGAGGTGAGAGCGCTGAGCATTGCTGCCTTCTTAAAAACCCTGTACGAGTGATACACATGGCTGCAGAGGGTGTGCAGTTCTGGGGCCCAAGGGCACAGGCAGCATGATGATGAGCCTAAAAGAAAACTTTGATAGCAGGACATTGGCTTATCTGTTTAAGGAAAAAGAAATCCCCCACCCCAGATGTGGGAGAAGAGGCTGAAAGTGATGGAAAGGCTTTCTGGACAAGTTTTTCATTTGGGTGCCTTAATTGTATCCATACCTTTTATCTTTTGATTTATATTTATATTATTTCAGTGCATTTCAATACTCCTGAAGTGCACATAATCAGCCGCCTTCAAACGTTTCTGTCCAAGTATCATGCCCTGATCAGAAGGCAAATTTCCCACAGTAGGGAACAGGATTTGTACTTTCTGACCTAAGTGTAATACTTTGCTCAACTGTGCTGCTGCTTTTCTCTTGTCTGTGGCTTTGAAAAATCTTTTTTCCTATTTCAGAGTTGTAATCTCTGATTTCAGTTTTATAAATATTTGTTTACTGTGTAAAAATCCAGTAGCAACTCATGGCCAAACCCTCAGGAACACACTGAATGGCCATGACACCCTCTTTGCTCCTACTGTTACAGCTGTAGAAGTAAATAAAAGGTATATGTATGGAGCAACTTCAGCTGGGTTTGGAGCAGCTCCCACTGCAGTAAACACTGAGCAGACAAGCTGTAGCTTCACAGCTGAGGCCTTGAAGGTACTTACATTAGGCAGTGACATGACAAAGTCATGCAGCTGAGCCTTCTGGGCTGCTTCTATGACTTTTTCCATTGTCACCTCTTTGGTGTTACTGCCATATTTGATATTATCAGCAATGCTGCAGTCAAACAGCACAGGCTCCTGGGACACGATTCCAATTTTTGATCGAAGAAACTGTACATTTATTTTCCTGGTGTTGTGTCCATCTATTAACTACCAGGAAAGAGGAGAAAACTTGAAACATTATTCCAAAACAACAGCCTGCAAAAAACAGTTTATAACAAAACGCAACAATTTACCCGTATTACTAAAATACAAACACAACTGATTTAAAGTGATTTGAAGAATCTGCTTATCTTTGACTCCTTTGTGCATGACGTGCATTTTCTGCATATGCCTGTGATCCAGCCAGGCACCAGACCATTTGCTTAATCTTAAGTGAACTATTTAACTGCTTAGGGCTAGGTACGTGCTTTGTTAACTTCCTGGCATCGCAATCACCACACCTGTATTTTCCAAAGAAAGATAAATCAAACTAGATGGTTAAGTATTTACATGAGGAAAAAATACAGAAGTTTTTTAAGCTATAATTAACTGAAGAACTAGAAGGTAAATGTAGACAGTCTCAACCTGCAAGGAGGCTGCATGTTGAAGCTATATATTTAGGGATGTTCCGGACTCTGTTGCTCCATTCTGACTTGGTTTTTGCTTATGCTACCACAATAAGCGCCACACATTGTGCATTTCATACAGGAATTACCAAGGTAAATGCCTGTGGCCTGCACAGGGGTACACCTGAGGCTTTGTAGTATATTTTGACCTTGCCTGAATACATCTAAGGCAATACTTGGCAATTGTCCCTATAGGGCACATGTTTGAGAAGGAGCTGAAGCCACAAGGTGCGTATGTGCATGCCACCACTGCTAGGCTGCACAGTAGAATACATTCAGAAGAGTCCTAACATTGCTGAAAACAAAGCATGCAAACCACATTTCCTTTGCTTACCACACTTCCTTGCTCAGGGTCATAGAAACGCTCCAGAAGCTGGACACAGGTGCTTTTACCACAGCCACTACTTCCAACAAATGCCAATGTCTGTCCAGGCTTAACAGCTACAGAGAGTCCTTTCAGGACCTGAATATCAGGCCGAGAAGGGTATGTGAATTTACAGTTAAGAAATTCAATGCTTCCCTTGAAATCATCCTGGTGAAAAAAATGAGAAAGATGTTACAATCATCTCAAGCTCAAAACTGAGCTGTAGAGCACAAAGTAGCTGTTCCTTAGATCTCATTCTTGCATCTCTTATTTAAAATATGACATTTGTGCTTGTGAAATTAGCCCAGAAAGAGCAATAAAAACAATGCTAGAGTAGCTGTCCTAGAGATGAAGTTATTAATCATAACACTGTAGCTCTGCTTCCCCATACTGCCTGAGGCATCAACTGGAAATAGCATTGCCTTGCAATGAGTAAATTCTTTTAATACAGACACTGTGTAAGTGTAAATCTGGTGATAGGCCAAATACGTCCCTGCAAAAAGCTGGATTTGGTAAAAGAATTCAATTGAAATTTGCAACATTAAACTACATGAATTCAGGTCAGTTTTTCCAGAACTCTTAAAAAGCTCTGTTAAAAAACTCTAAAGGAATCAAGATACTTAATTTTCATTGTTTGACACAAAATACTTACTGTATTTAGTTCATAACAATTATTTCACATTTTCATTTAATTTTGAAATAAGTTAAATGAGAAATAAACTCTTTGAATTTTCTGTGTCTGACTTTTCAGTTCCCCAAAACTTGAGCATTTTCATTTTGTCTGACTCAGAGGTGATTCGCCTCCTCATGAACACCCACAACATTTTGATGTGAATGGAAAAAAAAGCCTCCACTACAAGCTAGCAATAGTTTTACACGCAAACTGTAGAGCTGAAAGAAAAAACATCCTATCCTGTGAGTCATCCAGACCGGTCCTCTTCCAATTTACAGGAGTTTTACACTGACAAATTCCCAATAGCCAGTCTATATTCCTCTTGCTGTCTAGTACAGAGATCACTGCTTCCAAAAGAGCAAAGACAAGTAACAGTTATACATTCAGCATAATGTTCTTGTAAAGCAGTTATCCTCATGGACTTACAAAGCTCTGCGGCAACATCAGGACTTAGGTTGATCTGAACGACACCAGAAATTACTGATCTCCACACTTACCCATTTTTCCCCTTTTTCACTGTAAACACTGATTTTAGGAAGCCGATCAACGAGTTGCAAAAGGCGTGCAGCAGATGTTTTGGCTTTGGCATAGTTTGGGGTGTAGGAAGAAGCTCTTCCCAAAGCAGTTCCACTGGTCACAATAGCAGAGATCACCCTGTAGGGAAGAGGAACATGGTCATTCCTGGGAAGCCATCAGGAAACTGACCACTACACTGAGATCAGGGCTTCTGGAGAGGAGCCTGTTTCTGGCTTGAGGCAGGCGCTCACCTGAACACAAAGCTGTAATGGAGTCCTTCAGTGTCAACTAGAAACCCTCCATATCTGTACGAGACAGCATTGGCAATGAACACGATGCTCTGGGCAAAGCCAAAGCACAGTCCGTAAACATGTGCTTTTTTGACCGCAGCTCGGTAGGGCGTAGCCAGGTGCTTCTCAAAATTGTTGACAAACATTTTCTCTTTGCCTATCCCAGCTACAGTCCTGATGTTAGAGAGGGCTTCACTGGAAATCTGGAGAAGAGAAAGAAAGAAAATGGGAGAAAGCTCCTAATTTTTACTTGTAAAAGCAGAGTGTGTTCTTTCACAAATGCACGATTCTTTAATGAACACAGGGCACAGTGCCACAGATAAATGGGTTTAGATATGATACCGACTGCCCAAATATCAGCCAACCTAAAGAGAAAGTTTCCTATAAGCAATTGCCTATTAACATACTCACTAGTAATTCTCTCTCTGCTCCACTAGAGCTAAGTAACAAGCTCTACTGGAGACTTATTTCACATAGTATAAATAAATGGGACCTGCACAAAAGCAAACGTGGTTTTAGGAAAAGATGTTTATTTCAATTATTTTGTTTTACTTACAGGAATAGGGAGTTAGAAGGGATGCTATCCCCAACTTCTGGTTCATGAATTAAAATCACTTGAATTTACTACATATTCTCACCTGCTCACCATCCTTCTTTCTCTTATGTCTGAAAAGCCTAATGAGATGGAACAACTAAATAGAGGGTCACACCATTTCCAGGATTTTTACTTTGTACATAAGCAAAAAGTGAGCAAATTTTTGCCTATATGGCAATGCAACATGGGAAATTATGAGATAATCACCATGAAAACTTCTGTGGAGCTTTAATTAATTGTAGGCTTTATATTGGGCTTCATTGCTGGTTATAATTTGGGTCCCCCCAAAAATAGCACTAGAGCTTCATCTATAGAAGTAAATTGACTGTCTGATTCTAATTCACACTACTTATCTCAGTTTTACTAAGAAAAATTGTTTAAACGTTGTTGTTTGCCTGGACTTTGGTAGCAGCTTCACAGTGTAACACTTTCCTTTGGGAAGCAATAGGCTGGTGTATGGCTTATGAATGTTTTGAGCATGTAGGAAGAGATCTGAATATAAATCACTAAAACTGTTCCATCCAAATTCAAGGCTTTTTATCCTGACCAAAATCAAGTGTCAAATCTCTTGCATCATGACACAATATAAGAGAGTGGATAAGTAGATGCTGTGAATTGGATTGTTCAGGCTGTGCTTTTCCATGTTTAGCATGGCTGATGAGCAATCACTGTGGAAGAACTTGTGGGAACTGCAAGCTGTCCTGTTGCCACTATGATGTGGATAATTAAAGAAGAAGAAGAATTGCTGATAGTGCACCTGGGTCTTGAGCAAGCAAGGGAGTGTTTGTGTGCACAGGTGCAAGATCAGGCTGGGAAAGAGCCTGGGGAGTGATTGTTTATAGAATGGGATTTATAGTGACTGAAGACAGTCACTGGGATTGATGTGGTCTCTGTTTGGTTTCATAGCTCAGACCCATATCTGTATGCTATATATTACCATGTTATAGCGAATAAAGAACAGAACTAGAACTGACCTGGAACTAGTTGTGAAAGCAGTGTGTGTGCGTGTGTGTGTGTGTGTGTTTAGCCTCCTTCTCTACAGACACCGCAGGACTGGAAGAGTATTTTGCATTTGAATGCGGAGCTGGCAACTAAGTTAGAAAATAACATCAGACATAACTGGTGTTATCGCCAAAACTGCTGAAGCATTGAGTGCCCTTTTGATCCCAGCCTCTGGTTCATTCTCCTGAATAAAAGCTGATGCCTCAACTAATTAGTGAAGTTCTCTCCTTGTCAAGACAGTATTTTGGTTTATCACTTCTTGTAAATTATTCTGTAAATAATTAAACCATTCTGAATGTGGGCGATTGGTCAGGTCTTAATTCTTCATTGGCTTTCTGGAGCTGAAGACTGTTCCTAACAGCACCCAACAGTGGCCCATAAATGTACTCATTTGATTAATGATACCAAAGTCATACTAATTCACATAATGACTTTCGTATATGCCAGAAGTCTGCATGTGTAGGTAGCATGTGGGGTTTTTAAGTAAGTAAGTTGCATGCCCCCAGTCATAACATACTTCTTTAAATCACACCCAAAATGGGAACTGGGAGCTGAAGATTTGCTACTTCTGGAGGTGTCAAGGTAGCTGCAGCAGGCAGTGGGAAAGCCAGCCAGTAGCTACAGGGCAAAGGGCTCCAGGCTGTGTGTTTCCTGCACACATTAAGGGCAAGAGGAGGCTGAAGGTAGTTGGTTGAGAGCTCAGGTGGGCAGAGGGAAGATTCAGATGGGGCAGGGTGGGCTGGGTAAGACATTTGCTGGGCAGGACTTTGATGTGGGAAGGAGGAGAATGGGAAGCAGTGGGTACTCTGCAAGAGTAATTTTAGGATGGGCTAAAGTAGCTCTGCAGAAAAAAGAGATGAGGTGTTGGGCAGGCCTGCAAAGCTTATTTTTTCAGATGCTAGAAATATGACAGCCTTAAGCGAGGGGAGAGGACTTAAGTGCTACTCCCAGGAGTGTAACCTGAGGTAGTCTTCCTCATGTTGACCATCTCCTAAACCGCCTGTGTTTCTCATGCAGCTCAGTTTCTGCACAGTAGCATTAGGTATATTTTAAAAGTATCAGGTTCTGGGTCATGTGCCAGAACTTAGGGACCCAGAGCTAAAGTTAAAGGAGTTTGGGTGTTTCAAAGGCAGCAGATGTCAGAGGAGTGAACACATGAGAAAATGGCATTCCTTTCTCTTGTGTCCCTACCTTTTCCTTTCTTGGCACCTGCACTGGAAGTCTGCTCAGCTGGTGCAAACTACATAAACCTATCCCTCAGCCTTTTGAGTGAGGCAGTTCACAGGGCCTTGCAGCCATCAGAACATACAATCATAGAATCATAGAATAGTTAGGGTTGGAAAGGACCTTAAGTTCATCCAGTTCCAACCCCCCTGCCGTGGGCAGGGACACTTCACACTAAACTATCTCACCCAAGGCTCTGTCCAACCTGGCCTTGAACACCATCAGGGATGGAGCATTCACAGCTTCCTTGGGCAACCCATTCCAGTGCCTCACCACTCTAACAGGAAAGAACTTCTTTCTTATATCCAACCTAAACTTCCCCTGTTTAAGTTTTAACCCGTTACCCCTTGGCCTATCACTACAGTCCCGGATGAAAAATCCCTCCCCAGCATCCCTATAGGCCCCCTTCAGACACTGGAAGGCTGCTATGAGGTCTCCACGCAGCCTTCTCTTCTCCAGGCTGAACAGCACCAGGTTTCTCAGCCTGTCTTCATACAGGAGGAGCTCCAGTCCCCTGAACATCCTCGTGGCCCTCCTCTGGACTTGCTCCAACAGTTCCATGTCCTTTTTATGTTGAGGACACCAGAACTGCACACAATACTCCAAGTGAAGTCTCACGAGAGCAGAGCAGAGGGGCAGGATCACATCCTTTGACCTGCTGGTCACACTGCTTTTGATGCTGCTAACCCAGATACTGGAGCTAGAGTAACAAGGAAGGGAACTTTAGCCACCAGTCACTGAACACTGGACACACTTTCCAAGGAAAGGGATTTCCTTCCTCATGTCCCATGGTGGTTGGTTTAATACCCACACAGGTTTTTTCACTATGGAGCAAAATTTAAAGTACTATGAGAAAGTGCTAAGTCTCCTGCTAGAAATTAACAGGAAAAAAAAAAAAAGCATACTGCTAATCCAAATTTAAAAAATATTTATATAGTAACTGACTGTCACGGTTTAAGCCCAGCCTGTCACTCAGAGACCACGCAGCTGTTTGCTCACTGAACCCCCCTTACTCCCCCCCCTCTCCCAGAGGGGTGGGGAGAACTGAAAGAATGTAACTCCCATGGGTTAAGAGCAGTCCAGTAACTAAGGTGTAACACAAACCACTGCTCCTGCCACCAATAATAATAATGGTAAGGGAAATAACAAGGGAAGAGAATACAACCACTCACCACAAGCTGACCGATACCCAGCCCAACCCGAGCAGTGATCTAGCCCTTCCAGGTAACTTCCCTCAGTTACTGGGCATGACGTGCTGTGGTATGGAATACCTCTTTGGTTAGTTTGGGTCAGGTGTCCTGTCTCTGCTTCCTCCCAGCTTCCCCTCCTCCCTGGCAGACCATGAGACTCAAAGTCCTTGGTCAGAGTAAACATTACTGAGCAGTAACTAAAAACATTGGTGTTATCAGCGCTGTTCCCAGGCTGAAAGTCCGAAACACAGAACTGCACCAGCTACTAAGGAGGAGAAAAAATGACTGCTACTGCTGAACCCAGGACACTGACAAATGAGAATCAACAAAACTTCAATTCTTACAATCCAAACCAATAATACACTTATGCCTGTGATCTAGCAGCACTCCCTGATGGAGAGCTGGTACACTCATAGGGCACAAATGCACAAACTGACCTGGTTTCAGTGCTGAATTCTCAGGTGGGAGGATTCCTACCTGAACAAGCATCAGTGCTTTCTGAGGACAGCACCAACAAATGGGTATTTAAAGAAAAGCCAAAAAGGTGGGGCAGACTGCTGACACATCTCTGACCACCAATTCTGAAAAGTCAGGCACATTCCATGTAGCAAGTGCTTTTGCAGTTAGGGAGTTCCCAATGGCGGTTTGATGATTTGACAAGCTGAAATATTACAACTTATTTGCAAACAATTGCCAGTTTCATGACATTTGAACTGCTGGTGGCCCCAAATGCCTGATTTTTCAACTACCTATGACTGCAAATATAAATTAGTTTTTAAATAACATTACCCGTCCAGTAGCTTCCAGCGCCTTCTTGTCCTGAGCAGCAAATCCTGTCAGCATTTTTGCCTGCACAGCTCCAGATAAGGCCAAAAATGGGAGGAAACACAGTATAACTAAACTCAGCTTCCAGCTGAAGAAGAAAGCAATGATCATGGCCACCCCAATGTTGGTGAAGGAATTGACAATCATTCCTATCTGTGATCCAGTTGCCTTCAAAGAAAAGAAACAGATCATAGTATCATAACATCACAGAATCATAGAAAGGTTTGGATTGGGAGGAACCTTAAAGCTCACCTAGTTTCAGCCCACTGAGGTGAGACTGTAGTTCGCTACATCTTCCTTTTATAACTGACATACTGATAGAAGCTTTTCTTGTTGCCCTTGACATCCCTGGCCAGACTGAGCCCTGTCAGGGCTTTAGCTTTCCTAACGTTATCACTGGCTGCTTGGACAATTCCTCTGTATTCCTCCCAGGCTACCTATCCACGCTTCCGCTATCTCTAGGCTTTGTTTTTCCATGTCAGTTTGTCCAGGAGCTCCGTGTTCACCCACCACACATGCCTCCTTGTGGTTTTGCCTGACTTTCTCATTGTCAGGATGCATCACTCCTGAGCTTGGAGGAGATAACCCTTGAATATTCACCAGCTTTGTTGGGCCCCTCTTCCCTCCAGGGCTTTAGCCCATGGTACATCTACTAAGCAGAGGCCTGGAGAAGCCAGTTTGCTCTTCTGAAGTCCAGGATAGTGAGCGTGCTGTCCACCCTAAGGATCTTGAACCAACTGACCTATACTCAGGTACATGATGATTGACTTGTATTTCAATAGTAACTTCAATAATCTTTAAATAAATTTTCCTATAAAACTTCAGAAAACTCTAAATGATATTAAAATATCATAAAGCACCAGTGACTGGGGACTGCACTGCAGTTAGCTAATTTGGATATATTGTTTCCAGTTAATTGTATCAAGAGGTCTACAAATGTCCACTATTCCTTTCACCCACCAAACTTTCCATTGAGAACTCTGAAAATTGTTTCTAATGATTGTGAGAAAGATCATGTAACAATTTTCATTAGTTCCCTTGGTTCCCTGGGGAACTTATCATCTGAACACTCTTGATACTTTATCCATCTAGAGTTAAATAACACACAGAACCATTTGCAACTTATCTATTAACACCAAATTCTCACCTGTGCTAAAATCAGTAAGAAACAGCACCAAGAAAGCATGACTTTAAAGTTGCATTTCTGCCTGTCTCTCTAATAAGGAAATATTTTAAATATGCCTTTGACATCACATTTATTGAATGCATTCACCTCCTCCTTATGTACTTAAACAACACTATTCTTTGTATAAACCTGATTTATTTACTCAGAAGTTATTTTCTTTCTTAGCAGTAAACAGCAGCCCTAGATAGGAACCAGGCTGCTAGGTATTAGGGGGAAAAAAAAAACCAACACATGCATTTGATACCCCTGATCATTTTCAGCCAAATTCATTTGCAGGATCTGACCTTGCAGCACAAAATGACCATTACATACTCCTCTTCTGACTTGCAGCAGTAGAGCCTGACCATAGAAGAAGGCACACCTCTCAGCTCTGCAGAGGGAGCAGCCACAGGGCTGCTCTTTCCTGGATGCTGCAGCTCTAACACCCCACACATACTCTTACTCCTGGGGCAAATGTAGACATTTTCAGACCTTGGACACTTGTGTGCATATTCTCACCTTCAGCTCACTCTGCAATAGCAGCATTTGGCCAAACTCTGTGCCAGGCAGTGAAAGGTGGATGACACTGCTGCTCAAGTGGCTGTTTTTTTAACCCTGGAGCTGTGGGTCGAATGGTTGTGCCCCACTTCTCTACATGTGTTTAGTCCTTTAGGAGGATATAAACAGTTCAGTCAGTGTTTTAAAAGTTTGTTTATTTCAATTAAAATATGCCCTGTAAGTGCTTGTGAGAGCTGGAGCTCAAGAGGTTTGCAGCAGGTTTCTCTGATTCTGTAGATACTGCTGCTGACAGGGGTTTTCACAGTATCACAGTATGCTAGAGATTGGAAGGGACCTCGAAAGATCATCTAGTCCAATCCCCCTGCCGGAGCAGGAACACCTACATAATGTTACACAGGAATGTGTCCAGGCGGGTTTTGAATGTCTCCAGGGAAGGAGACTCCACAACCTCCCTGGGCAGCCTGTGTTCTGTCACCCTCACTGAGAAGAAGTTTCTTCTCAAGTTTAAGTGGAACCTCTTGTGTTCCAGTTTGTACCCATTACCCCTTGTCCTATCAGTTTGCCACTGAGTAGAGCCTGGCTCCATCCTTGTGACACTCCCCCTTTATATATATATATACACTAATAAGGTCACCCCTCAGTCTCCTCTTCTCCAAACTATAGAGACCCAGCTCCCTCAGTCTTTCCTCATAAGGGAGATGCTCCACTCCCTTAATCATCTTTGTTGCCCTGCGCTGGACTCTCTCCAGCAGCTCCCTGTCCTTCTTGAACTGAGGGGCCCAGAACTGGACACAATATTCCAGATGCGGTCTCACCAGGGCAGAGTAGAGGGGAAGGAGGACCTCTCTCGACCTACTAACCACCCCCCTTCTAATACACCCCAGGATGCCATTGGCCTTCTTGGCCACAAGGGCACAGTGTTGGCTCATGGTCATCCTGTCATCCACTAGGACCCCCAGGTCCCTCTCCCCTACACTGCTCTCTAACAGGTCGTTCCCCAACCTATACTGGGACCTGGGGTTGTTCCTGCCCAGATGCAGGACTCTACACTTTCCCTTGTTATATTTCATCAAGTTATTCCTTGCCCAGCTCTCCAGCCTGTCCAGGTCTCGCTGGATGGCAGCACAGCCTTCTGGTGTGTCAGCCACTCCTCCCAGCTTAGTGTCATCAGCAAACTTGCTGATGGTACACTCAATTCCCTCATCTAAATCGTTGATGAATATATTAAATAATACCGGTCCCAGTACTGACCCTTGAGGCACTCCACTAGTTACAGGCCTCCAACTAGACTCCCCCCCATAGACTACAACTCTCTGGCTTCTCTCCTTCAGCCAGTTCGCAGTCCACCTCACTACCTGATCATCCAGACAACACTTCCTCAATTTAGCTGTGAGGATGCTGTGGGAGACTGTGTCAAATGCTTTGCTGAAGTCAAGGTAGACCACATCCACCGCTCTGCCATCATTCATCCACCGTGTTATTTCCTCATAAAAGGCTAAGAGATTGGTCAAACATGATTTCCTCTTGGTGAAGCCATGTTGACTGCCCCTCATAACCCTCTTATCCTTGATATGCCTTAAGATGGCACCAAGGATAAGGTATGATATTGGGAACCTCTTAGTTATTTTGTCTTTTAAACTCTTAAAACCTCCATTAATAGGCTGGAAAAACTAACCTACCATCTTCAGTCAAACTGAAACAGGACGATTTTTGTAACAAAGGAATCTCTATGTTTCCTTCTTTGTTTCAAGAAAATTGCTTGTATTGAAGCCAAGTAAAACGACATCTGACTCACTTCTACCAAGTGGACTGTCAGATTAAATCAAAACTGTCACAAGCAGCATAACACCATGCTGGAAACTTGAAAACATAAATAGTCACTAAAATACATGCATGTAACTAAAATACTAGTGTGACATTGTTTTGAAATAAATACTCCAACATTGTAGTGTTTCTAATGTTTCTAGTGTAGCTAATTCATCTCCAGGAAAAAAAAAAAGAAAGAAAAAGAAATTAAAACTTTTGCCCTGAATGCTCCTTCTTGTTCCATTAATGGTTGGTATCTTACTGATTTTTGTGTTCCTGTTCTGGTAATACAGGCAGGAATAATAGGCAGTATATTGTGCCCCTGTTTGTGCTTTTAGGTAAATGTGATGATAATAGTTCCACATTGAGAGTCTGTGTTAAATGGAAACAGATTGATTGACTGACCAAGGACTACTCTACACTGACCTTGCCAAAACACACATTCAATCGGTGCTTATAGTAAACCACTTCTTAAATTACTTACCCCTTGGACCTGTGAGGCATCTGTTGCAAGTCTTGTAGTCAAAGCACCAGGGCTGTTCTTCCGGTCGTCAAACCAGCCAATGTCTTGCCCCAGCATAGACTGGAAACCTATTTTTCTTAGCCGTCTTGTAAGCAGCTCACCAGACTTGGCAAAGGTGTAACCCTGGGGTGCACAAGAATAAACACAGACATTGTACAGAAAGAGATACCCACAGAGTAAGGGATCAGAGACAAAATGTACCTGTATTGGACTGCTATTACCTGTAGAAACTGTGTGAAAAAGGAAACAATTCCAACAAAGACAAAGAGCAGGCAGACACCATTGATCTGTGTCCTCTGTTCTTCTTCATCAAGAATGGAGAAGGTCTTGGGGGAAAAAAAAGTGGCATCATATTCAAAGTGTCATGTTTGGTGTTTGTGAAGTCTGTTAATGACTCACTATTGCCCACCCCAGAACCAAAGCCAGAATACAGAACCCTCCCTCACCCCTTGCAAAAGCCCTATTCCTTATTTTCCTGAGGTGAGCCTGGGTACAACATGTTTTTACTCCTGTTAAACAACAGGTTTATTGTACTTGGTGTCTGTACATACTTCTATTACTTGCTGCCCATCCCTAGTTGTAATTAACCATTCCCTCACTCTAAACAAGAGCCAGTGTGATAACCAGAGAATAGCAATGAAACAAAAGCACAGCAACAAAGCAAGAGTGCAGCAGCTCTCTTACCTCCTCTCTGATCTGTGCCAAACACAACTTTATTGGGTCATACAAAATGAAGTCTGTGTAAATAATTATAACATAGCTTGATTCTCCCAGCGCAACACTAATGGATGCTGTAATTGCTATAGGTAGGCTTCAAGAGGAATCTATTGTCTTTACTGAAGGAGTGTGGATATAAGGAATTTGCTTACTACTGGGTACTTGAGAAAAAGCATTTATGCTTAAAGTACAGCCCCTTCACCCCATTCTGGTCCAGTCTCCATGGTACTTTGCTTTTATCTCTTGTTCTGAATACCTGCTCTTCTTCAACAACTGCCAGTGCTACTGGCTGCTGCTGAAATAGTGGTCCAAATCTAAGTAGCCATTCTTTAGCAATTCCTTTTGGTCAGAGCAGTTGATATGGATGTCAGTTAGCCTACCTGAGGTTGTTAAACTTCTTCTGCTCCTTGCAGATACAAGCCACAGCTCATGTTTATACTTCTCCACTAACCTTTGGTTAATTCTAATTTGATTTCACAGGTAAAAATTTCTATAAATTGACTAATCTCTCAATCTGTTATCATAAGGTGTAATTATAAATAACCTATGTATTTGACTTTCACTTGTATCGAAACCAGCTTAAATTCTTTTAGGTGACAGTAGAAAGAGAGGAAGGAATTTTCATTACAGCTGCAAAATAGAAACAAAAATAAACTTAGGTACTAGTCTTAAAAGGTCAACCCAAGTTATTTATGGTTCAAAATGAGCTATGCATCAAAGTAGCACAGAGGTATGACAGCATGAAGTTGAGGAAAATAAATAGTTGTTCCCTAGTGAAAATTCCATTCCCAATTCAAGTACTTTAACTTTGTACTTTGGCAACAAAATAAATCCTGCAAAATTAAGAATGATGGTATCAAAAAGGGACAAGATCTGCTCCACTGCCATGCTGTCATACCAGTAGCAAGGCATGTTACTTTCTCAGACTAATCTTTGTTTAAACATAATCACTAGGTATGTTTTAATCTGTGATAATGAGAACAAAACTACTGATATATTTGTTCCAAAGGTACATTGCTGATCTGAACTGATCAGAAGAGTGATAGAATCAAACAACTGGGTTGGAAAAGACCTTTATGATCATCAAGTCTAACCATTACATATATCCAGTATTATCCAGTTCTTCATTCACTTTTGGTGACTAATTTCTGAGAACCTTCAAGGCAGACTTTGCTAAATTTATCTTTCCATTTCATAGCTGGGGTGATTTTTCCCCTCACTTCCCCAGCATACTGGTCCCACAGCACAAGCCCACGTGTCTGTCACATCATTGCAGATATTCAGACAGCTTGGTAAGCAGATGCATATTCCATCTGCCTGACTGCCTTGGCATCAGGCAGAAATGTTTTAAATTTATGAATAATGAAACACAGATGTTGCACTTTGCTCATGCTTGTTAGGTCTTGTTTTTTTCTTGCAGCCTCTCTCCTTTGATGGACTGAGACCTTCAAGAGAAGGAATTCATCCTTGGCAATGAAGGCATTTAGTATTTCACAGGAATATGTCAGCCCCAGAACTCCTAGTGTTTAGAAATTTTTTCTCAAAAGGAATCAAAGTAGATACATTGCATAATGCACATAGCAGTGTCTCACCTGCTTTCTAGTGAAAACCTCAGTTCCTGGCATGAGGTCTAGACACTCAGAAAGTGCTTGGAGGTTGCACAACTATGACTAAAAGAGCAAGCACATTGGCCAGGAGCCATTAAGTTGATCAGCAAGGACTGGAAGGCCTTTTGTTCTGAGCCTCCATGGGTCTTAACTAGCAAACATCAAACTGCAAGTAAATGTGATTCAAAGTCCTGAGTAACTTCACAGAGAGAAATATCTAAGCCAAAACATGCCCCCCCCCCCCCCCGAAAAAAAAAAAAAAAAAAAGAAAAAAGACCAAACCAAACAGCAATAGCTTAATCTTTCTTTTGATAGACTGCTGGCACTGCTATCAGGAGCATTTTCTCAACCCTTTTCCCATTAGTAGCTCAGATACTGGGGCATTCATTCGTTTGCTCTTTCTCACCTGGAAGGTTTTGGACCTCCAGTTTCTAGAAGAGTATCTGCCCTTTAGGTCATATTTTATTTGTGTGCATATATACCTACTGTGACCTAAGCAAGTAACTGGTATTCACAGCACAAGTTTTATCCTATCTCAGGTGGGTACACAAACCACAAACCAAAAGCGCCATTCCCATTTCCTTCCCCCTGAATGTGTCATTACTTTGACTATAAGAAACAATATCAATAGAGAAGTTTTCTCTATCCTCTTAATTCTTCAAATTTAGGACACTTTCCTAGGCATTAGTTAGAAAAGCACTGAATTTCTCCAGGCAGCCTTCCAGTTTCCCCACTGTTTTTTAAGGAAAAAATAATCATGGTTGAGCCCTTGAAAATTTTCAACCAAGGCTGTGGATTTTGGTAGTAATACATTCTTTAGTGAATGCCAAGGTTTAAAGCATATTCCTGTTTCCCCTTTGTCTTCCAATCTTGTTAATACATGACTACTTTCTGCTGGCAGTTATGAACCCCATCACAATTATCTACCTCTCCCTGGTCACTCTGTAGGGGCTGAGCATCATTGAGCTGCCTGAAATATATGAACAAAATAGTGAAGTATTCTTTTGATCTGACCCAAAACTTTCCCAAATGCTTCGCAAAGTCTTTAGAATAATATTCTGCAGGTCAGAACTTCTGCATGTCTCTCTCTTCACTATAACTGCATGTGGGGTACATCTTGTCTCACCTATGCTAATGAGCCTACCCCTTCAAAGAGCTCAAATGATAACATGATGACAATGATATAAATATCTCTATTGAATAATTGTTTATAGGCAAGAAGTCTAACCCCATCTACTTGATGAGATATAAAGATTTGCCCCAAACATGTAAAGTTCTGCATCATACATTCACTCCTGTCTATTTCGGAGCTAAAATACACTTTCAAATGTTAGCATAACTTACCCCAAGAATCTGACTGAATAACAAAGCATAGAGTGGACTGACTGCTCCATTCACAGCTGCTGCTAGAGATCCAAGTACCATGTATGGCCATTCAGAGGCATTGTATTTCAAAATTCTGGTAAATGGCACAGGCTTGACATCTTCCTCCACAACAGATTCCTAAAAAACAAGTTATATCTTTGAAGCAAATGAATTCCCCCAGTGATGTTCTGTCTTTGAAAGTGGGATAATAGCTAGCCTAGTCTGTTAAATGGCCATCTAGTGCCCTAAGAGCTGCTCCAGATTTGTACTGGAAGGGACAATGATGGGTCTTGGCTGCTGTCTGAATCTCTTTTGTAGGGCTGGGGAGTCACAAGAGAGTCACATAAAGAGAGTCACTTTTACTGTCCCTGGAGAAAAACAAAGAGATTCGTACCTTGGGCAGCAATACTGAGTCTAACTTAAGAGGTTGATTACAACCAGTTTAATACTTTCTGCCACTGAAACTCAGGCTGTTCCCTTTTGGCTGCCTTCAAATGAGATGTGATTTAATACCCAGTGCCAAAACTAAAACTTCTTCCTCACAAGAAGCTTTTCGTGTCACTACTGGAATCTTAAGAAACATTATTTTAAAGTATTGTGGGTGAACATACTGATCAGACTCTACATCAAATTAATAGTATGCTATAGAACTAAAACAAGGAAAATCTCAGAGCAATAGCTGGATTCAGGCTTTATACATGCTAATTACGCCTCCCTTCTGTGTAACATCCTCAGACCATATGCTGAATTCCTGTAATTAGGCCCAGTAAGAGCAGAATATTCATCATCAAATTATAACTTACCCTAACCCTGCAGCTTGCTTTGTGCAGAATTTTTGTAACACTGTGTGCTGAGCCCTGCTCATCTCCCTCAGTTCATATGGCTGGAAATGCTCAGACAAAACAGGCACTCTGAAGACCTATCTGCTGAAAAGGTGCAAGGATGATTGGGTGGAAGCATGTTGTATTTTCTCTTTCTTTTGAGCTACTCCCAGAGGGAGAGCACTAAAGCCCCTTTATGTATCCACAGAATAGGCTTAGCAATAGCAAGACCAGTCCAGTGACTTCTAACTGCTGCTTTCTGCACTGAACAATCACAGCCATGCAAATTGGGGCAGGGAGCTTCATAAGCACTTTGGAAACCCACTGTGTAATTCCTACATATTCTGCGTGATTTTAAGGCATGCTGTCTTTGTTTTCTATGCCAGTTGATTGCACAAGCGCAGTATCAGTGAAAGGACTCTGAGTTAGGTTGCAGTGAGGGTGTCTCTTTATAAGTCTTCAGAAGATTTTGAGATGAAAGTGAATTTACTCTTTATTGAACAAGAAGCAGTGTTATTTGTATCACTGAGTGGCTGTTACATTTCACAGAGTGAGCATTTTGCTCTTTGCCAGTTAATTCAGCTTTTATGAATATGTCTCTTCAATTTAATTTACAACATATACTAGTTTACCAACAGGTCATGCTCTGGTAGAAATGGGCCAGGGAGCATAACTGCCACCAAAATGCAGCCTAGGTTTTACAGAGGATAAGAATAGAAGCTGTGCTTTTGTCTGGGAAAAATCAATTCAATAAGATGCATCTGCCAACAACAACTATAACAGAGGCACAAATCTACAGGTTATCATTACCAAGTAATGTTGGGTTGAAAACTTAATAACAAGCTATAGACCTGACCTTTTTTGCTTGTCCATCATCTTCTCCATAAGAAGGTGTAAGATACATAGACTCTGCATGATCTCTTGCAATGGATAATGGAGGGTCAGGGACCACATTAGAGAGCTGAGATCTGGAGCGCTGCCGAAGTGAAGCTCTTTAAAGAGGACAGAAATGGGCTGTTATTCACAGCACAGTAACACAATACTTGCTTGCAAAGCTGTTCCAGTTTTCATATCAGCTAGATCAGAATTCATTGAAGCAAATCATAGGAATCCCACGGACTTTTTCTTTCTTTTTCTACATTCCCTCAACTTTTTGAGAAGAAAATATCCCACAATAGGGACAAATACTTTTGAAAGTCATGTTGCACCACCACCACTTATACATTGTCTTTTATTTACCCTGCCCTGTGTATTTGCTAAGTCAAATCATGGTCTATCCTACTATATTTGCACAAACCCTTAAGACACCAAGTCAATTCAGCATTATCACTATGAACTAATTCAGTCCAGCAAAACCCACCTCTGCCCCTGACAAAAATAACCCTGTAATGTAGGAGACAAGCATTCATTTGCATATGCCTGTCATAGGCTTGCCTGAAAGAAATATTAAGTGTCTAGCTACAAAACAGTCTGGCTTGTAAAATGTGTTAACTTTCATCAAGTAGAAGCTATAATAAAATCATCCTTGTACATTGCATTGATTTCTCAAGTAATTGCATAGCAAGTCATTTTTCAAGTGACTGCACTGAAAGTGCATTAAGCAATACAAATATATGGAGCTTTATGGTAGCAATATTAAAAATGGAACATTAAAACAGGAGACCAGAACTGGAGGGAAGGTATTATGGATAGAAAGGGGAGAAAAATTTAGAGTCTTACTATTTATCTAAAGCCCTTCAATTTCTTTTCAAGTGAACTTCTGTCTTAGCAAAATGCTTGTAGCCTTTCCAGTTTCTTTTACACAACATAACAGAGAATTGATTCATTAGCACTATTGAGATTTTGGAATAGTAGGATGAAGTATAGAGCTGGAAACACTGAGATTTACAGTCATTTTTAAGACTCACCGCAAACTGGCCCGATAGCTTCCTCTGCTGAATGACTGCACTTTCTCAAGATTTGGCTCAACCACATTATTTCCTGCTGCTGTAAAGTATAGTAGATGTAACTCTTCAGTTTGTGTTAAAATTGAATACAACCTAAGTCCACTGTGCTCTGCCAGAAAGTGCAGTTACTCCAAGTCATAACTGGAATACTTTGTAGAAGGCAAGGAATGTAATAAAACCTTGCTACTCAATCTACATGTACCACATATTTTATATTTCTGTTTGACATGATAAAGTTGACTGAATATTAACCTGAAGACCATCTCACTTGGATTGTGACTGCTAAAGGCTGTTTCCCTATTTTAGTACTGTAATTGCTCTCTTCTTTTAAGATAATAATATCCAAGGTATGATGTTTCACAAAAATACAACAGACCATTGTATTAGATCCCCATTTCCAGAAGCCTCTAGTAAATCAAATAGGGTGGTTTCAGAATACTCTGTAATTTGCTTGCATTCCAAATGCAGCAGGGCTGAAATGGCAGCACTAAATGGAGCTATAAAATGATGGGTATTGCAAGTCAAGATTAATGTTTCTGGGCAGATCTATATTAGGAAGATCAGTGAGTATACAGTAAGAATACTTTGGTAAGGGCTATCAATGTATTACTTTAATGAACGCTGAAATTCAGCCAGAAAGGCAGAAATATAAATAAATATTCTGCATTCTGTGGTTTTCACATCATTTTAGAAAAGAAAACAAAATACTCACTTTCTGTTGTTTCTCTGTTAACTGCTGTGTCTCCACCTCTTTGCAAGGTCACCAACATGAAATAAACCCCTTTCCTCTTCAAGAGTTCTTCATGAGTTCCTCTCTCCACAGCCCTTCCATGCTCAAAGCCAACAATGACATCAGCAGCTTTGATGGCTGACAGGCGGTGAGCTATGGAGATGGCTGTGCGGCCAAGGCGAGCCTGGTACGGAACAAGAACAGTCCCAGTCACAGGACAGCAAACACAAGTGCTTGGAACCCACACTATGCAATCTAAAGTCTGGTCAAACCAACAGGAGTCTCTCTAGTGGTTTCAGCTGACTGACTTGAACTCCATTCACAGCCCATAGATAAGCCCCTGTTTCTGAGCAAAGGGAGCTATGTCTGTTAATGCCCAAATAAAAGAAGAAATTACTTTTTCACTATTACTAAGGTTCTAGTTGTGCATATGAACCAGCTATTAAGAAAAGCTTCTCACTCCTTTGTTGCAATTCAGCAGCACCCTCTGCAGAGTGCATTAAAAATAATTTCTATCCTTTTAAGTCTGATTTATGCTATGCTACAGCAAACCTTATGAAGTGCTTCTTGGACAGTAGCTTCACTTTCATTATCAAGTGCTGACGTAGCCATATCCAGCAGCAGGATTTTGGGGTTTCTCACAAGAGCTCGAGCAATAGCTATCCTCTGTTTTTGACCTCCACTCATCTGACTTCCCCCCTCTCCAACATGAGTGTCAAATTGCTGTGTGAAAGGAAAAGAAAACCAAAAAGGTCTGTTAGGCTCCTGGTGAAGACATGGGTAAAATGTCTCTCTGATTTGTTCTGGGGGAAGACTTCAAAACATACTATCTTCGAAAGACAAAAACATTGTGAGTGCACCAGATTCAAAGGAAAGCTGACAAAATAACTTCCTTCATAATAAAAAACATAATTTTGTCTGAATTAGAGTTGCAACTCCAAAACAAAAGTAGGTACTGATAAAAAGGTGAAATGTTTTGGTTTGGCTCAAAATTACTTTATTGGCAAAGGGTGAAATGGAGAGGAAAAACCTGCCCACCCTCCATCAGATGATTCACCAGCAAACTTTCCACAGAGCTGCACTTATGTCCTTTTTTCAGCTGGAATAGTTAATTTTCTTCATAGTAGCTACTATGGGGCTATGTTTTGGATTTGTACTGAAAACAGTGTTGATAATACAGGGAAGTTTTCTGAGCAGTGCTTCCACAGAGTCCAGGTCTTCCCTGCCTCTCACCCTACCCCCCAGCAAGCAGGCTGGTGGTGCACAAGAAACTGGAAGAGGACACAGCTGGGACAGCTGACCTCAACTGACCCAAGGCATATACCATACCATATGGCATCATGCTCAGCATATAAAGCTGTGAGAGGAAGAAGGAAAGAGAGCACATTCAAAGTGATGGCGTTTGTCTTCCCAAGTAACCATTAAGCGTGATGGAGCCCTGCTTTCTTGCAGTTAGCTGAACACCTGCCTGACCATGGGAAGGAGTGAATGAATCACTTGTTTTGCTTTGCTGGCACATGTGGCTTTTACTTTACCTGGAGAAGAGAAGGCTGCATGGAGACCTCATAGCAGCCTTCCAGCATCTGAAGGGGGCCTATAGAGATGATGGGGAGGGACTCTTCATTAGGAACTGTAGTGATAGGACAAGGGGTAATGGGTCAAAACTTAAACAAGGGAAGTTCAGGTTCGATATAAGGAAGAAGTTCTTTACTGCTAGGCTGGTGAGGCACTGGTATGGGTTGCCCAAGGAAGCTGTGAATACTCTATCCCTGGAGGTGTTCAAGGCCAGGTTGGACAGAGCCTTGGGTGACATGGTTTAGTGTGAGGTGTCCCTGCCCATGGCAGGGAGGTTGGAACTGGATGATCTTAAGGTCTTCTCCAACCCTATCCTATGATTTTATTAAACTGTTTACCTCAGCCCCCAGTTTTCTCATTTTTACTATTCTCCCATATCCCACCGGGGGAGTGAGCAAATGCATGGAACTTAGCTGTTGGCTGGGGTTATACAATAACAACTTCTTTCCTGATGGTCTGTGAGTCATGATTACTGCGTCTGTGATTCATGACATCATACTCTGACGGCATTGGGTTCAGGTAGAGGACTAAGCAAACACAAAAGCCTAGCATCTTGTGAGCCAGGATAATTATATTCACCTAGAGTCAAATCTTGTTTATTCCTCCATTTCCAGGAAATAAACAGAGGTCTTTACACAGTCTGTCTATGATTAGTTTCCTGGAAGCCTGGAAATGTATATATGGGGGTTTAAAAGTACCTACACACATTAGTTAATGGTACTTGAATCCTGCCAATCTGGTTCACTGCTGTAACACATCCCTTTGTAAAGATAATTGGCAAAATAACATTCTAGAAAAGTAAACAGCCCAGTACTATCAAATGTGGAAGGAACTGGAGGACAGGGAACCTTTATCTAACTTACAGAACTTGTAAAAGGAGATGAGGTTGTGAGGATCAGTACAGACTGCTCAAAACCATATGCTGGCTAGTGAGAGAGTCTGGGCTCTAAATTGCTTTTGGCCTGAGCGGAAACAGATTTCCATAGAATGAAAAATATGTATTTTAAAATCATGCTATGATTATTACCATGATATTGAATGTTGCACATATGATTCCCTGAGGAACTAATTTTTTTTTTTTTTTTTTAATTTGGTGATGTACATGCAGTAAGACCTAATTAATCAAAGGAAGGTTGCTGCCTACTATCTATATTGATCTTCTGTCCTGAGAACAAATGGCTGCATGGAAGGAACAGAAGGATGTTATATTTTTTCATCAAATTCTGTCAAATACGCTTACAAAACACAGCATACCTGTGGCAAGTCCATGATGAAATTGTAAGCATTGGCCTGTTTGGCTGCTTTGATTATGTCTTCCATGGTAGCATCATCCTGACCGTATCGAATGTTCTCTGCAATTGTGGTGGCAAACAGCACTGGCTCTTGTTCAACAATACCAATCTGTGAGCGTAGCCACTGGATATTGAGGGAACGAATGTCATGGCCATCCAGGGTAATCTACAGAAGCCCAATAAAACAGGGACAAAAAAAAAAAAAAAAAGAAAAAATGTCAGGGACATTATCCCCTCCAGATCAGAGACAGACACAAGGAAATGAAGGGCCTGTATGGCCCTTCCACAATGTTTCCATGACCAGTATAAAAAACAGCTTTCATACAGACAAGAATGCAGTGCAATGGCAGTAATATAGGCTAGTTCTTGGGCCTAGGAGTGGTGCTCTTTGATTTCATTACCCAATAACTCTTTTTGCTTGGCCTCAGAAATAAAACCAGGTGGAAAGTAACATCAAAATTATGATTATATCTTTACAATAAATTGGTCCTTTGTCTTTTATACATTCAAATATAGGTCACCATGTATGTGATTTGTGTCAACTAGTAAAACGTAAATGGCATGAAAGCGTTTATAGATGTAATTCATATTCTTGGCCATTCCGTTACTAAATGTTAATTGCTTATACTAAAGCAATATTAGGGGATAATGATTAAATGTTCAATACTGGGTTTGTGTTTTCCAGAATGGAAAATTATTTGTTACTCCAGAATGATCATCTGTATAGTTTTTACTCAGATTTAGTACTGAATTTTTATTTATTCGTAACAGTTTTTCTCTTTCATGTCATTATTTTTAGAAGACTGTTCATCATTCCCTAGAAATGCACATGAGGAATTTCATTCATTGAAAAAAAAAAAAGAAAAGAAAAATTTAGGAGTCTTCCTTCCACCCTTGTAGAATAAACCATGTCATTCATTCAAGTTCCTAAGACTAGAGAAACACATTCTAGTCTGATACACTCACCATGCCATCAGTGGCGTCATAGAAACGCTGGATGAGCTGTATTGTTGTACTTTTTCCAGCTCCACTAGCTCCAACAAAAGCTGTCGTCTGCCCTGCTTTAATAACCATATTAAGGTTATCTAAAATCTGGGAAAAAAAAAAAGGAAAAAGAAACAGACTCAATCCATTCCAATTCTCTCGCAGTCATATAATCAAGTGGGTATATTCTGTCTCTTAAAATGGAGATTCAAAGCATTTTAATAAAACTCAGAAAAATATTATGAAGAAAGAGGAAAAAGAAAGCCAAATATTTTTACATTGTTTGACGAGCTTATAAATGCAAAGCCCTGTTTTGTGTGTTAGGCAGGCAGATTTTGACCTTTGTTCCTGTTCTCCATCATTAAGAACTAGTCAAGTTAATATCATTGCAGGACTTGGCAAAAAATCCCCTTTAAAGAACACTGTACATGTATTATAAGTGCCTGTTAAAGGATAAATATTAAGAATGTAACAGTGAAATTATGTAGAAAATTCTGATACTTCATATACTTCTGTCTTCAGAAGCAATAGCACTCATTTGCTTGCCTGGTAATATGCTTTTCCAAGGAGAATTTGCCAATTCAAACACAGTAGTAGGGAAATAATGGGGTATACAGCCAATGCTCCTGTATCTTTTCCTAGCACTTTAATGGATCACATGTTGCATCCCCAGGAATGGAAGTTATAAAACCTCGTTGCACCATTCATCTTATTACATTGTGTCCTATTCTAGCAAATATCGATACAAGTGCATAATTGATTGTCAGAGAAGCTCTATGCAGGTCAATTTGAATGAAATTACTATGAGTTTATGTTCAGCAGCAAGGAATATATATGGCAATGAATATGTCAGAATGGTAAAATAAGCACAATGGTAAATAGAAGAACCCTTTAATGGAAAGATTATTTAGTCTACCTTTAAACAGAGGAGCTGGGCTTCTGGGAAACAAATTCTACTGAAAATCTGAACTGCTGAACTGGGATATTTTGTTTACAGTAATTGTGTGCACAGGAGGGATGATGAATAATTACCTTTACGTCTGGTCTGGAGGGATAATGGAACGTTACATTATGAAATTCAATTTCACCCCGTACTTTATCCAGCTTGTAGCCATCTTCTGACATGCAGTCAATGGCAGGCTCCTAGGATAGAAATTGTTGTGTTATTTATTTGTTGTTAAACAGACAGCACTGCTGCAGTAGAAAAATACTCCCAATACCATACAAAGCCATGGCACTTCTGTTTTAACAGCAGCTGACTGCACTGGGCAACAGCAGGATCTGCCCCAGGGCTAGCAGGCAATGGACATGAAATTGAAGGCCAAAGTGATGGGGGAGTTTTCACTGGTGGGTAATGTGGGAAGAAGAATGCACCCTTGTTATCAGCTACTAATAAAGAGAAAAATGACTGATACAGCTGAACAGCCCTCTATTAAGCTTATTGCAGTTACCAGTCAGACACTCAGCTAGTTTTTGCTGGAACAAAACAGTTGAGTGAGGCATTTTGACTAAGTTAATTTAACTGGCTCCTCAGGAATAAAATGTCACTACTTTGCTCATACACACATTCTCCTATGGCACTGAACAACCAGTTCACTGCTGAAAATCTGCATGCTTCACCACTTTGCATTTGAAACAGCCATCCTCGCATATGCAATCGTAAGAGCTGGAATCCTGATTTAATGTTTTCCCATTGGTGCTTTGGCTCTCATCAAGGCTAGGCCTTGATTATGGCAGACTGCTAGACATGAGCAGAGAACCAAGAGAAATTTGAGGATTCCCAAAGAAATTAAATTTTCTGAGGATAGATTTTGGAAGCACAAAATACAGAGAATGAGCTAAAACTGCAGCAACACCAATATTTAATAACTGAAACATGCATGATTTTTTTATGTAGCCTAGCAGATTGAAGGGAATTTTAATATGAGAAATGTGTATGCTCTAAGATGCTAAGAACAGCTGGAAGACTGGTTAATCTTCAGGAATATATCTTACTTAAATTCGTATACTATGAAGAAAAGTTTCACTGATTCTGCAAATGAGAATCTCAGCACAGTGTAGTACTGAGTGTAGTGCCAGAAAAAAAACCTGTATCAGGGCAGAGATGTGCTTTTACTGTCTAATCACAAATCTACAAATGCAGCAAGCAGATGGATCTACTTTTGTCACCCTTTCTCTAGACAGATAAAATCTCGCTTTAGTTTGCCTTTTTTACTTTAAGGTTATCTGACTCAGCATTATCTTGAATTTTGTGATTAATTCTAACTGTTACAACTCTTTGTGCTTTTTAATTTTTTCCCTAAAACCTGCTTCCCTTATTAATCTCTTTTTATCTTGGAGCTTAAACTCATGAAGTACATTTGTAAGGCATGTGTTAACGTTATTACAGAACACTGACAGGTTACTAAAAAGCTCATTAGGGTTATCACAGCCCCTCTAGCCTTCTTTATATATCCTTATGTGCTCTGTAAAAGACAAGCAGCGTTTTAATGTGTTTACAGAGCCTTTAGCACAATAAAGCTTGTCAATGACCAGAGATACTACTGCTAAGAAATGAGTGGTATTTTGCCAACCACTAAATTTATATGGATACAGAAAGGAATCATCAATAAATACCAGTGGTTCTCAGACTTTCTCATACAACCTTATTTCAAATATCTGTCTGGATAAAATTGTAATTAACATTTATGGCTGCTTCGTGACCAGTGCCTGTGCTTCTTTGGTCCCATTTTAACCCTGGAAAGAGGGAAATATAACCCCCATTTTCAAGAAGGGGAAAATAGATGAGCCAGGGCATTATAGACCAGTCAGTCTCACCTCTGTGCCTGGCAAAATCTTGGAGCAGATTCTCCTGGAAGGCATGCTAAGGCACATAAAAAAACAACAAGGGGCTTGGTGACAGCCACCATGGCTTCACTAAGGGGAAATCCTGCCTGACCAATTTGGTGGCCTTCTATGATGGGGCAACAGAACTGATGGACAGGGGTAGAGCAGTTGATGTCATCTACCTGGACTTGTGCAAAGCATTTGACACTGTCCCACATGACATCCTTGTCTCTACATTGGAGAGACATCAATTTGATGGATGGACCACTCAGTGGATAAAGAACTGGCTGAATGGCTGCACACAAAGAGTTGTGGTCAATGGCTCAATGTCCAGCTGGAGACCAGTAACGAGTGGTGTCCCTCAGGGATCGGTGTTGGGACCGGTCTTGTTCAACATCTTTGTCGCTGACATGGACAGTGGGATTGAGCGCGCCCTCAGCCAGCTTGTCGATGACACCAAGCTGTGTGGTTCGGTTGATACGCTGGAGGGAAGGAATGCCAGCCAGAGGGACCTTGACACCCTTGTGAAGGTGGGCTGATGCCAGCCTCATGAAGTTTAACCATGACACGTGTAAGGTCCTACACCCGGGTCGGAGCAATCCCAGGCACAGCTACAGGTTGGGCAGTGAAGAGATTCAGAGCAGCCCTGCAGAGAAGGACCTGGGGGTGCTGGTCGATGAGAAAATGAATTTGAGCTGGCTTCAGTGTGAGCTCACAGCCCAGAAAGCCAACCGTATCCTGGGCTGCATCAAAAGGAACGTGACCAGCAGGTCGAAGGAAGTGATCCTGCCCCTCTACTCTGCTCTTGTGAGACCTCACCTGGAGTATTGTGTGCAGTTCTGGTGTCCTCAACATAAAAAGGACATGGAACTGTTGGAACAAGTCCAGAGAAAGGCCATGAGGATGATCAGGGGACTGGAGCACCTCCCGTATGAGGATAGGCTGAGAAAGTTGGGGCTGTTCAGCCTGGAGAAGAGAAGGCTGCGTGGAGACCTCATAGCAGCCTTCCAGTATCTGAAGGGGGCCTATAGGGATGCTGGGGAGGGACTCTTCAGTAGGCACTGTAGTGACAGGACAAGGGGTAACGGGTTAAAACTTAAACAGGGGAAGTTTAGATTGGATATAAGGAGGAAATTCTTTCCCGTTAGGGTGGTGAGGCACCGAAATAGGTTGCCCAGGGGGGTTGTGAATGCTTCATCCCTGGCAGTGTTCAAGACCAGGTTAGACAAAGCCTTGGGTGATATGACTTAGTGTGAGGCGTCCCTGCCCATGGCAGGGGGGTGGAACTAGATGATCTTAAGGTCCTTTCCAACCCTAACTATTCTATGATTCTTACTTTTGGAGAGGTGACAGAGACCAACTTTGCTGCTCATGCCAGTAGAGTTACATCTTCTGATGCCATCTAGAGACTGGGAGTTAGATGCTTGCTGCAAGTTTGGCTGCAAGGTGGCTATCACTGCCTGCCTGTACACTTCCCATGGGCCAGCACTGATCAGTAATTGTATATAAGACGAGATGGGAGTAAGGAACTGTAATACCTGAAGTAAAACTTCATTATTGAGAAACAGGCCACTTACCTAAGAAATCTGTTCAACACCCTCTCTGAGCCCATGTGCATGCTGCTAGACCTTTCTATCGCACAGTCAATTTTTCTTTAACTGCACTCATTTTTCCTCATTTACACAGTACATAAAACTATTACTGCTTGAGGCTTATTTAATTATTTTTTCTACTACAAAGTGACACGTTTTAGAAATGCATTACTTACTTTATCTATTGTTTCAAAAATGTTTACTGCAGCCCCACGGCCAGTGGCAAAAGCTTCCAGACAGGGAGATGCCTGACCAAGATTTAAAGCTCCTACTAAAACTCCAAAGAAAACCTGAAGAAGTGGAAAAAGAAATTAACAAAATATGACATCAAATTTTTATTACAGTTTAGAGCTTAGAGAGGCAAATCAAACTAAATGGCTTAATGGCTTCTTGTGCATCAGCTCAGCTGCACTGATTCACTATATGAGCATAATTAGCCCACAAGAAAGCAAACAAATGCATCTTAGAATGGATTTTCACTCTTTCACAACTTTGCTTCCAGGCTGAAGTAAATCAACTTATCTCATATTTGCTCTGTCCGAAAAATGTGTGCACCGAAATATTTACTGAACTGCCACTGATGTATTTTTAAGCCACCTCAATTTGATTGGGTGTCTGTGGCTTGAAGCAAGGGCTGGAACTGATCATCAGTGGCAAGTAGATTATTTTGGGCATGCCTTTTACCAATAAGCAGATGGGAAGCTACAACAATTCAAAAAATAATTAAGCCTAAACCACTGTATTACAGCCTTTGTTGGAGGCTGTTCTGGGCAAAGCTATCACAAAATGACTGAATTTTCAGTCCTTGCAGAAGTCAGGAAGAAGGTCAGCAAAACCTTCACCTTAAACTTCCTTTGGCCTGTTTGGGATGCTGGTTGGCAGAATTCCTTGGAAACATTACTGAAGGACAAAGGGGGCCAGGAAGGCTGGACACTCTTCAACAATGAAATCCTTAAGGCACAGGAGCAGGCAGTCCCTATGTGCCGAGAATCAAACCAGCAGGGAAGAGACCAGCCTGGGTGAACAGGGAGATATTGCTTGAACTCAGGGAAAAAAAGAGAATTTATCACCTTTGGAAGAAGGGGTTGTCACCCCATGAAAAGTACAAGGATGCTGTTCTGTTATGTAGAAAGAAAGGTGAAGGCACAGATGGCCGGTGCCATAAAAGAGACTAAATCCTACTTTTACAAATATTTTATGTATATACAAATACATATATTTGGTCTCAGCTAGCCTTTTGAATACAACACAAATAGTAGTCAGGATAAATGGGCAAAGTGTATAAGGAAATGCTACTGTTAAGAAAGAATGGAAAGTACACAGGACTCAGTTCTCCTTTGCACCATGCTGATATTTACTGGGAATAATCCCATGGCTAAAGTGGAAGAAGCTACTGTATACATATTGTGTACTGCAAACATCTACACTGTGATGTATAGATCATGCTGTAAGCTCACACTCAGCTTTACTACAAACTAATTTTCTTGTATGAAAGAGCTCCACAAGCAAGTAGGTTATATGCATGTCAATCAATCACGAACATTAGAGAGCAGGTTCTGTATGTCTGATAGAAGAAGGGAGGAGCAATGTTTAGTGTATCGCAGTTCAGTATGGCTGATCATGTCATGAAAAACATGACAGTTTTTCAGAAAACAAGAAAAGTGTATTTAAATGTTTTTTATCTACAAATCCTCCCTTCCTCCCCCCTGCCGGACTAGGAGTGCATGGTAGAAAACATGAAGCACAAGAAAAATGACTGGAAACTGAAAGAGGAGTGGAAGCATAAGGGAGAGTCTCTCCACTGACTGCTCAAATTTTTCATCTACAGGGTAGCTCCTCACTATTTGCCACTTGTCATTTGGAAGCACTGAACTATAGTTATCATGGGTAAGGCAAGAAAATTGCTCACTTTATTTTTCACTGCACTAACTTCTATCAACTACTGATGTCAAGAGCAGTTGCAAATGATTTCCAGTAAGGAACATCCTCCTTGAACAGAATGACTCAATTTTACAATGTTCTCAGAGTAATTTACCAAGCTCCATTTAGCACTTTTAGAAGCTTTGCACTGCATGCTGCTGGTGCTTGGGAGCTCTCTTGGTGTGCAACAGGCAGAGAAGGAGCAGGAAGAGCTGTTTCATCGGAACACCCAGGACTTACCAAGGTTTGGGAAAAATTTACTCTGTGTCTGCACTGCAGCTTGCCACTTGGGCAGTCCTGGCTTAAAGCAAATTACCAAAATATCAGCAGATGCTGGTTTTATTGCATTTAGGTCATCAGTGTCTAAAGCATCAACTGTGCACAAGTGGATGCATGAATGCTGTAGAGGTTAGTATATTTTTTGTATACACTGCAGGAGCCACAGCCCTGTGTGTTTTAATCAGCATATATGTTTACATGTTCTTTGTCATCTATAGAGCTGGGTGGGCAATTAGCAACAGAAAATGGTGATTCAAAGGAGCAGAAGCTGTTCATAAAATAGAGGTTAGATGTGATAAAACTTTCTTTGATTAGTCTTCTCTTCGCTGCAATGGGTTTTTTCATCATAAAGGTTAAGGTCTTCAGAGAAGCCAATATCCCAGAAGCCACATGCTTACCCACAGAATGGTAAAGCTAATTTAAGGGTTCTGTTCATTGTGTAGAAGGCTCTCAAACAAAAGCATTATGATCACTGCAGTAGGCAGCATTTCAAATCTTTAAAATAAACATTCATTAGGTTTGCTTTTTTTAATCTTACCCAATTGTTTCAGATACTTTCATACATATACTGAATAAAAACCACACAGAGTGTTAACATTGAGCCACTAGATACTAGAACACTACAAAAATGTATCCCAGAATGCATGTTTCAAGAAACAGTCCAGAAAAGCTGCATCAAGCTAAAATGGGTACCTGCAGAAGAGTGCCAGGTGAATACTCTTCTTCTTCAAGGACAAGTTTAGAGCCATACCAAAAGGCTAATGAGTAACTCAGAAAAATTATAAACCACATGTAACCAGTGAATAATCCCATTATTATCCCTTTTCGAATTCCCCAGTGCTGAGCAAACACCAGATTCTTATCGTATCTGAAGAAAAAAATGAAAGAGGATGAAATTAATTTGATTGAAAATTCAAAATCAGCAAAGACCAACAAAATGAGTCCTCTCTGATGACTGGCTAGGGTACAGTTAACAGAGGGTGTACATAAGGCTTGTACCTCTTACTCTGAAGTGAGAGACCACTGGTGAAGCCAGAAATGCTCCCAGATTATGAAATCCTTGTATGAACTAGTGCAATAGGCGCACAAAAAGCCACTCTCACCACAGATACCTCACCACGGGGTTCGAGGTTTTAGCAGAGTGACACAGGATTCAAGAATATTGCCAGTGCTTCAGAGCATGTCCTACAGTCATGTTATGTTTTAAACGAATTTTTAAAAAAATACACAGTTTAACATCATCAAATCATTATGTCTTGCTGGAATTAATTCTCTTCCTTAGCTTGAAAATACCCAGAGTTTTCAGATGTGGTGCTGCAAAAGTGATGTATCACACAACATTTAGGGGAAAACTTTACAGTACATTCCTAGAAGAGTGAATGACTCGAAGATAGTATTGCTGATGTTGTATTTCACTGATTGACTGAATTATGAAACTGGTTGTGCATACAGTGTTATTTGAAACCTAAATTCCTGTAACATGAATACAATGCTGAAAATTAACAGTCATTATTGTACAACTTAGAGATTAACTGAACAACTCTGAAGATTTACAGTGTTAGGTTGCTACAGGAAGAAGAAATCAGAGACTTTACGATTTATCCAAACAAACCTTTCAACTTCTCTCTTCTCCCCGCCAAAAGCAGCCACTGTTCTGATGGATGACAGCACTTCATCAGCCACAGCTCCAGCTTTTGCATAAGCCTTTAATTCTCGGCCTGTTAGTCTTGCCACAGCCTACAAAAGCATAAGAAATACTGGTTACACCTGAACTGTAGGTACAGGCAAGAACAATGGTAAGCAGTACTGGCTGTAACACTCTGCTGTTTGCTCTGCTTGAGGTCACCTCCTCCACTTCAAGCAGGCTTTTATTAGGCATGCTGCATACTAGAAGACTTCTGTCTTCTTGTTTAGGGTGTATACCTCTGTAATGGATGAGAACCTAGTGGGAGTTGATTCCCTCTCATGACTGAGAGCTATAACAAAGGATGTTGTTTGCCACAGTGTATTCAGCAGAGTATATATGTTTGTGTTCATCATGACCGTTTGTCAGAAAGATGCAGGAAAACATGTGTGCACATGTTCTATGACCTTCATACTTGGCCACACTGGGGCGCCTGGCTAACACTCTCAGAGTGGACAGCAGTGAGATCATGAGAAACTGCACAGTCCCATAAATAACCTATTAGAGATCTGGCATAAAGCCAGTTGTTTTGATAAGGGTATAAAAGTGGGACCCTCTTGTGGCCATGAGAGTAGCCTCACCTATGGGTGGACGCACTGCATAGGAATGTTCCCAATTACTTGGGACTCCTGGCATTGGCTGCAGTGGGGTTTCCCAGCTGGAAGCGTGGGCCTGGATTATGATTCAGTGGTAATGTGTTTCTTCTTAATTAATCTCTATTCTCTCTATACAGTAATGGTCTAATGCATCGGTAACTTTCTTTGGCACTTTACTAATATACCTTTATCTCTGATTCGCCTTATTGTACTTATTCACTATATATAGAGAGAGATTTACTTAATTCACATCAGTGTGCTTGCTTTTAGTGTGCTTATTGGCTTTAGTGTGCTTATTCAATAAACTCTGCATATTATGCACCTAGCGTGTGGTCACTTTGTGGTGTCCCCTGTCTGTCAGCAGAACAACCTCTGTAGCATATGTTCTGCATATGTTCTGCCTCTTGGCCAACAACTCTGCTCCAGGTAGTTAGAAAGAGCATCTGGCAACAAATGCTTTCCCTTCTTCCCTCCCTCTCTGCTCCTAATCGGGCTTAAGAAGACTGCAGACTGTGAATTTGTGCATGATGGGAGGAAGAGGAGCTTAAGTAGCAAGAGCAGCCCTTCAGCCACTGTGACAGAGCCCAGCTTCAGGAATAAGAGGTAATGGTAGTGGTGGGGGAAGATGGAAACAGGTGTTGTCCACCACTGTGCTTTGTTTCTTGGTCTGACAGCATACAGGTCCCTACAGAGAGTGCTGGATGCCAAAAGCTTACTTAAGCTCAAAAAAAGCTCGAATTAGTGGAACGACATGTAGTCATGTACAGTTCTACGCAAAGATACTACATTAGCCTGGGAATGACGTATCACTAGAAAATGTGAAGTGACATTTGCTTTCTCTCTTCAAACACCCTATCCCAGTCATCTATTAGCCACTTTTGGAGACAGAAAATCAGGCTAGATTGGTCTTGCATCTGTTTTCTTTACCGTAAAAAGCAAAGACTTGGGCTGGAAAGGCTCGTAAGGGGGAAACAACAGCTGGTATGTGAAAGGAAAGAGATGGGGACAGAGAAATAATGGAAAGGGGGAAAATGTGCTCAGAAAGAAACTGCAAATGAAGGAAAGAGACATTTGAGGGTTTATTTAATTTCCTGCCAGGATTCTGCTCTCCCCCTTCACACTGACTCATTATTCATGTCATCAACTAGCAGCCAGCAGAAGGTGCTAAAGGAAAGCAGGAAGATGAGAAATTAGTCAGTTACATTACAGGTTTGGTAGCAAAATGTTCCTGACATAGAAGAAGTGACATAGCCAAAGGGCTGAACTCAACAAAAAACAGAGTGTGAGAGAGTGCAGAGGAGAAGCAGGAACTGCCCAGCCCTTATGGATGTGGAAGAATAGGTGAGAGGACAGAGGACCCTGCTGTTTCCCTCTTCACTGTCTTTCCTCTGCACAGTGACAGGAACTTTATAGGGAATGGGTGGCAGAGCATAACAAGAACAACAGGGAAAGGATGCAGCAGCTGCCTGGAGCAGGGACAGGTCGAGGGAAGCCTGAGAGGTTGTTTTCATCTATTTTATAGCTCTGAAACTTGATCATCTCTAAAAGCCACTAACTACACAGAGAAATCAAGCCCAGCGTCTAATAACCTTCTAAAACAGGTGTGTAGTAAAAGAAGGTGTAGGCCAGGTTCTGATCTCAGCAACTGTAATATCCATCCACAGGATGCAAAAGAAGGTATGCTTACATTCCCATCTTAGAAGCAGGAGATATTATTATAGGAATCAGAATAAGCAAAGTGGGAGGGGGTTTTGGCAGACAGTGGTAAGGTGCTGCTACCCCCTTCCCATGCCCCCTGGGTGCTCCTGTGACTGTAATCTGCCCCTCTTGACTTTAAAAGGGTGTAACAGCCTTCTCTTCCACCAGTCCTCCTAGATCTATGGCATGACCTTCCCTTCTCATCATACCTCAACACAAACTTTTCACAATCCACTTACCAAGCCATAGACAGCTGCTCCAACCCCAAGCAGAGGGCTGACTGCGATGATAACCAAGGTCAGTTTCCAGCCACTGACAAATCCCAGTAGGAATCCACACACAAAGGTGGTTAAGCGCTGGATAAAGATTGCTACTTGGTCAGCAATAGCCTCATTGATTTTGTTAACATCACTGAAAAAAAAAAAAAACAAAAAAAAGCCCACAAGGTTGGTGAATATATCTTTTGCTTGTGTTGCAGGTCTTGGACACATTTGAGTTAGTCGCTTTCCCTTGAAGAGGGTCTTTTGTTACCTGTATTCTTTCCAACATATCTCTTCCAAAGACCCTGAGCTACAGAGAGAAAACCTGGTGCTTTTGCAAAGGCAGAAGGATTTTATGTACAGAATACAGCAGAGAAGATACTGTGTTTTCGCAGGTAAAGTTGTCCTGCCAGCAGACTCATTCACTAGCTGGTTTTTACTACTCTGTCCCAGTTGATTCAAAGGAGGGGGCAGACACATCCCAACTGGATGCAGCTACCTGACAGTGGAAAACAATACATCTGATATGGCATTCCTCCCATCATGAGGCACTGAGAATGTACTGTACTGCCCCTGCTAACAGGGTGGGAAAGGCAGGAGGGCTGTAACTCCCTTCTAGTTCCACTTTCTACCACCTCATGGTTCCTGTCTGCACTCTATCAGGTGGTTTGTACTTTAAATGAGAGCAAGAGTAGGAAAACTGAGGAGGGCTACTTTATCACTGGAGGCAATGGGAAAACATGACAACTCTATCCTAAGGGGGACAGTAGAGCAGCGGTCAACATCATTTGACCTCTAGGCAGCTGCAGAGTTCATCTGTTCTCTCTTACACATTGCCAACACAGAAAAAACGTCTTAAAGCAAAAGCCATTATACTTCTGCCACTCCTGGCTACTACCTCAGCTTTGAGGTTAGAAGAACTGGGAACTCCTGAAATAAATAGGAGCAAATGGTGTTGAGGTTTAAAGTGTAAAATTGTGAGTTCATTGATATATAAAGTGAAATTAGAGTCCTCTATTGAAAAAATGTAAGAGTGTTCAGTTGAAAAAACATGTTTATATTTCTTCTGGTAAATGGTGAGAGGTTTTTTTCCTCCAGGAAGCTTTTTTCTAGGCACAGAACAATGCTGTTCAAAACACCAGGGAGCAAAGTGTTATTTATTAAATATGTGCTCAGTTCTTATTTTATGCCAGAGAAATTCTTTACAGTGACTTACAATTGGTGTTTATTCTTCATAAAAAGAACACCACAGAAAGTCATAGATACCAATGGGCAGTGAGTAAAGGCATATAAATTCCCCTTCAACTACAGAAAAATCTACAAATGTGACTACTATTATGCAGGCACAACTGAGAACAGGGAGCCATCTAGAGTCAGCATATTCACCTGGCAGCTAACTTCAGTGCATAAACAGGAACCACTAAGAAAAGGAGCAAACCTTAAATTCCACTTTTCTCAGGGCTAAATGTTTACCCAGGATAAGAAGGTCTCTCCATTTACCTTGAGTCCATTTCTAAAGGCAGGTTTTTGTGCCTTCTTTAGAAGAAGATTAAGAAAGGCTCTTTAAATATATATATATTTTATATATATATAACCAAAACATTATGGGTACTCTTCGATTTTGTTGGCTATAATGTTTTGGTTTTTTTTTCCTTTCTGGGAAGTGAGAGAGGATTCAAATCCACATCTCCATGTCTCCAGGCTCAGGGGACTGTGCACTGGCAGCCAAATTATAGGTCACTCTGAAAGGACTGGGCATAGGAGGAGGAGGGAAGGATAGGACAAGCTGGCAAAAATAAACCAGTTCAAAATCCAACAAAAACCCAACACATTTACTGATAGTCAAGGCACAAAAGGGAAATAATTGTGGCTTAACAGTTATGGTACTTGGTTCAAAGATGGGGGATATAATCAGCCTGGTTCCTGCTCGCAGGAACATAGCTATATTTTATATTAGGAGGTGTTTGTCAAATGCCTAGTTATTGGCACGCCGTTGTGTTTGGAAGGAAGTGCAAAATGTTCTCTGTAGCATATGCTTTTTCTAGATTACTTACTCAGAAATTCGGGTGTTCAGCTCTCCCACAGATGTACAGTCAAACCAGCCTATATCCATTCGCATTACTTTCCTGAAATAAGCTTTCCTGATTTTCTGTATCTGACGAGCTGCAGCCATCACCCACAAGCAGATCTGGGAAGAGCATAATGTGGCTGATAAATTCTGTAAAACATCTTTGTGCTCCAACAAATGCACAAAAAGCAATCTGGCTAAAACTGGAAAGAGCAATTTGGCTATTCATAAAACTACTATTCAGGTAAAATACATTCTAGCTACTCAGACATGGCAGTTGTTTTATGCTTCTGGTGTTTAAAGACTCCAAGAATTTTATAAAGCCTCTGGATCAAGCATTTGCCTCAGTTCTGATCGACTGAGAGGAGATGCAAGTTAAATTGTGTTGTTACATGAATGCCATACAGACAAAAATGCTTCCATCTACAGCTATAAGTAATAGAGAGATGGCAGCCATTCTGCTTCAGCAAAACTCTGGGACAGTTTTCAGGAGGGAGAATGGCAAGTGATATTAGAGATTATAAAAACTTCAAAAGCAGTGGACTCTTTAGCTGGTTGTGCAGGAGACATCCAAGCTTGCAGCTCATCTCAGTCATAAGGACTGAACCATTACTACCGAATATGAGGGTGTGATTCTTCAACACCAGTTTTACACTAGTATTTTACTCTGTAATATCTCTATAATAGAAATACAAGGCTCAACACAGTTGAGATGCCTACTGAGAAACTGCATGCCTTTCAGCTACATTGGGAGGGCATGTGGATCCCATAGTAACCACACTTGAGCACATATTTCTTGTGGTGTGAAAGAAGAAGCATACATTCATCTTACTGGGTAAAACATATCCTTGTACAAAAAAAAGTATGTATGCACAAATCCAAGGAAGTCTCAGACTGCCAAAGTTAACCGAATATGAACTAAAAGCTTTTGCTCTGCTCAATTTGGCAGCTGACTAAGCAGTTAAAAGGAAAATAATTATTTAGTGATTTAAACTTTCAAATCAAAATGTGGAACAAAATACTGACTTGAAGGTAGCCTAACACAAGTATGGCACAACCAATTCCTGCATAGTAACCTGCAAACTTGGTCATTTCTTGTTCGATATCCAGCAGCCTGAAAGGAAAAAAAGGGAAAAAAAAAAGGAAAAAAAAAAAGTTAGCAATACTGTTTTACAGTTTTCAGGGGTTGCTAACCTGGAGTTTGAGTTAGAGTCACATCAGCTGGCAAGTCAGCTTGTTTTGCCGAGACATTGTTCCCCAGTACTGAGACTGTTGCTAGCAGTGGGTGTTTTGTTGCTCTGCCTATTGCACAGGGGTAGGACGCTGGCAGGTACCGGGAAACCCTGCCGTCTGGGAGCAGCCTTGCAGTCTCTGAGGAACCCCACCAGGCCACATGCTCCAAAACAGCACATGTGTAGAGGGTGCTTTAGGTAAGAGCTGCCCAGCAAGTTTTCGTTACATATTGAATGTGTTTGCTTTGTGCCATTGTACCAACTAACAACACTCAGTTTAAACAGTGTTTTATGGGAGAAACGAGAGCTACTAAAGTCAATTTGAGTATTACCTTGCACCATAAACTTGCTAATCTGAAATGACAGTTTCTTTTAGCTCAAGTAGGAGTACTCAATTACTCCTAATATCAGTGAAGGGCATTGAGTTGCTGCTATTGAATTTACATTACTTTGAAATAAGCATTTCAGGTTTTTATTCACTATACTTTTAGACAATTTTCAGAACACCCTGTAAGACAGCAAATTTTATTCTGTTTACCCTGAATTTGGTACACTGACATTTTAAGACAAAAGGGAACACTATGGACCTGACCTGATCCCTCACAAAAAACAATCACAGGAACAACTCATGTGCCTGACACATACTCAGTATAATTAACGTCATGGAGCAGATCTTCCTGGAAATTATGCACATAGAAAATAAGGTGGTTGGTGGTAACTAACAGGGCATATAGGGATAGGACAAGGGGAAATGGCTTTAAACTGAAAGAGGGTAGATTTAGCTTAGATATAAGGAAGAAATTCTTCACTGTGAGAATGGTGAGGCACTAGAACAGGTTGCCCAGAGAAACTGTGGCTGCCCATCCAACCTCAAGGCCAGGCTGCACAGGTCTTTGAGCAGCACAGTCCCTGCCTATGGCAAGGGGGCTGGAACTAGGTGATCCTTTAGGTCCCTTCCATCCAAACCATTCTAATAGATTCTTCGAATGTATACTGCCTGGTGCATAGCTGCTGCTTCAGAGGAACAGAGGTCTATATCAAATCCTATGTTCTATGTGCCGCTCCCATCTTGGAGGGCTGGCTTGGACAGCTTGGAGCAAAATCATTTAGCCCAAGTCACCTACATCTACGAATGTAAACTACTTCCGATATGCTTAGAATTTCAGAGACCTTTAGACAAGTAACTTTTAATTATAATTAATTATCTAATTAAATGTCACTCAGAGATTAGAAAACTCTTGCAATGATGCACTGAAAAATGAGCGCTAGGAAAGGTTACAGGTTCAAATGTGGCTTTGACAGGTGTCTGTACCTGAATGAATCATCTAGACTCCGTTTATTACTGTTAATGGAAAGAAACAGGCACTCTTACAGGGCATTTCATCTGACCTTCCTTAGACATCTCCCATAAACTAAGATTAATTGCATCCTAGAAGCACTCGTTTCTTTTCAATGACTAAAGTTTACCTAACTTGTTTGGAAATCAGCAGGTACCCATAGGTACTTAAGTCCTAACCAGAATGACCGGAAGTCATTATTACTTAGTCAGAGAAAATAGGTTAATTAACTCAGATATGTAGCAGATAAAACTGTTACCAGAACAATCATCAAAGAATATCCTTGCTGACATCTATAGCTGAAAGACCAAGACCCAATCTGGTCTTCTCTCCCTCCAGGTAGTATTTCCAGCTCTGTAACAAATCATGCCCATTTTCTGCCTTATGGATAGAAAATGTGAGGTTTAAAAGCTGAACTGGACCTTCACTAGCAATACAGTCTCTGACAAGCTATAATAACAAAGGAATGGAAATAAATATATCTGCCACTTACCCACATCTTATTGTGGTGTTCTTTTCATTCTGATGAATAGTACCATTAATCCAGACTATGGTGTTATTTACACACGTCTTGCCTGGGTCTTTAAGCTCTTGCATTTCAATGTCATATTCAATAAATGTGTCTGCCATTGCACCAAACACAAGCAACACAGCTGGCTGGGCTGCTCCATGAACAATAGCACAGAAACTACCAACAGCCATCATTAAGATTTCCGTAGATGAGGAAAATCGAAACTAAAGAGACAGGAAAAAAAATAGTTTCTGCTGAGAGGCAGTCTTAATGATCGTTGTATAAATCATTAATCAGGTGGATCACATACAAAATCAGTCTTTAAATTTCAGAATTATCTTTAATACAGAAAGAAGACAAATCTCTCTCTCCAATCTAGTCTAATTGCACCTGTGATTACAGCATTATAAATTATGAGCTCCCTTTTAGCTGACAGCAGAATCTGACCATGTGAATGAATGGATTATCATATAACATTAATAGCTCAATATCATTCCACATTATCATCATTCCAGAAACTAGCTAAAAGACTAAGAATAGTAATTATAGTTCATATATATGGTCTGCTCTGCAGATTTCCTGTGGGGATGGAGGAAGAGAGAAGGGAGGAAAAAGCCTCAGGGCACTATACAGAGCCACTGAATAAAGTTAGCTAATTTCTCAAAAGTCTAGGGTACTGTGGTAGAAAGCTAACTAAAGTCACAGAGCGAGTTCTCACAGTTAATATCCTAAAATACGTTGGCTTAGGCAGGCAATAATGCACTGGCTTTTAATCTGGGAGAAATATATAGAAATATGCCATAGCATGCAGTTAAAAAAAGGACTGAGCTAAGACCTATTACCTTACATTTGCCATGGGCCAAGAGCACGCACATATGCAGCTGGTGACTAAGCAACTTAAGTTACCTTTGCCATGATTTTGTGAAGTCTGATTCTCATGCTGAAGTCATGCATAAATATATACATTAAACTGTCCATATAGAACATCGGTATCAAATGCTGTATGTTTTGAAATAGGAGTGTAAAAAGGAATTATAGCCTGCTGACGAACCTGTCCAGGTTCTGTAGGTGCTATAATGTGTCAAAGAGAAGAAAGGGTGGGAATTTGGAGCACATACGAAAATGGGACATTAGGGCAGAGACAAGATAAAGGGAAAAACAAGTCAGTTGAAGTCAGTTAACATAAAAGAGAAGTAATTAAAAGGTCTTTTTACAATAAACATCAGAAGAAAACTGTAGCACTACCACTGTTTTGCAAACCTTGCTTATAAGAACTCTAGGAATCCTCTTGATTAAAAAAAAAAAAAAAAAAAAGCCACAAACACACAGAGAAAAGGCAGAGGTATGTAACATCTAATCTCTCAGCATATCTGATGCAAACATACTGTGCTTACCAACTGCATTTTAGGAGTTAAAAAACTGTGTAAAACAGGCTACAGAATTCAAACAGAATTCAAACCCCTCTGCTTGACAGACAGAGCTCTCTGTGTGGACATACTGTTCTCTCCACCCAACTAAGAGCTGAGAATCTTAGCCAGGTAGATTACAAGCTCAGTACTAAAGTCAGGACCATATTAGTTTGGACACATTACAGGCTAATTGTCTAGACTACATGCAGAACAGAAGCAACAAAACCTCTTAGCTGCATGGTGCTGTGTTAGACATCTCTCCACTACATTAATTTTAAAATTTAGATGCACCCTATGGGATTCCGAACCCATCAAAGGCTAGACGTACCATACAGTATTGTGCATTCACAAGTTTCTATAGCTACAAGATCTTCTATTATGCATGGAGCTACTACAAGGGAGCTAAATTATCTGCCAGATTATCACACGGGAAATTTCTGGCAGAAATAAGGATGAAAGAAGGTCACCTAAATCCATGATGTGCACCTTACGTTTTTTACCCATATCTACATGTAGGCTCAATATAACATGCTTAATTTACAATTATGACACAAATACTGATAATCAATACCAAGCTGACAAAATGACAAAGGGTTCTATTAAATTCCCATTGACTTTAATGGCAGGATTTCATGCCAAATGATTTAATCCTTTAAAGTTTGGCTTAGTCACAGCTATTCCAAAAACAACCATATAGATTATTGTCACTTATTCTGCAGCACAATACATATAAAATATTTATAGCCATTGCTTTGATTACCAGCTGAAAGAAGCCAACACGAATATTGTTTTCTTTCTTTTCTGATGACCTTCAAGAACAGAAAACATAAAATTATAAAATTTTAATATATATTTTGTTCTACATGCAAAGATAGTAGACAGAATTGAACTTCACTCACTTTTCACTTTTCTTCTCTTTAAAAGGTTCTTCATATGTATGGAAATTCCTAGCAAAAATAGTAAGATATCACATTATTTCTTTTATTCTCTTGGTTGCTTCACTAATATTCCATTTTATTTGAAATATTTTGCGCAAAATTTTAGGAGACAAGCTGTTTCTTTCAGATTTCTTTGGAACCAGTGACTTGACGATTCATTTAAGTTTCAGACTTTAACTAGAACAGAGGCTAGGTTAAAATGATCTGAAGGATTATGCTTTCTTTCATTAGTAGCTCCTCAAAACACTGTTGCTGCAATGTGACTATGCGGGTTCTTTGAGGTCAAGCCAAATTGTTGGCTAATACTTTCTCTAAGACAGATAAATGTCCTGTTTCCACTCCCTTTTCTATTGCCTGTGTGTTCATACGTCCACAATAGCTGTAAAACATCTCATCCTACTATTGTGTTTTTTCTCAGTGCTCACATTATGTATTGCTATTCTGTATGATCAGTTAAAACCTAAAGGACTAGTTGCACCATTATGGATGGGATTCATACTATAGCAAGTAATCATTGGCTGTGTACATTCAGTATTGAATGAGTAAAGATTTTCATTTTGGGTTTTTTTTTTTTTTTAATGAAATAAATGAATTCAAGCTCTATTTGTCAACACTTTTTTAGAAGCCAAATCCTAGAAAGCCTGAAGGAAGCTTCGTATGTGTAGTAGGTAGGACCATTTATGTATTACATGTGAAAGCTCAAGAGAACTTGGATTTCAAGATATGTGCAAGGATCATGGTAGACCTTGAATATTGGGCTGATGCTCTCTGATATGGTCAATCTGTCGAAGGCAAAATTTAAAGAGGTGCTTTTGCATCATCATTGTAAGAATATTCTGAGACTGTGTATAATGTGACAGAAAAAGCTGGCACAAATTACAGTACCCATCCAGATGTCCAGTCCGCTACAGAGTTGTTCCAAGACCCAGGAAAAGGGAGGCTTTTAACCCCAACCAAATCTCACATTGTGGCTGAAGGTCAAGGTCTCTAAATCTTTTCAGTTTTTAACTATCCAGCATTCTATGTTTAAATCTTAATATCTGAACTCAGATGAGGCAAGTTAATTCCATTTATTTGAAAGTCTCACAGTAAAGCTTTAAGAGAAAGTAATCAAGATTAATTAAAATTCTGAAAAAAAACCCTCATTTCTCAAACTAAAAGCACCAAAGAAAGATAAATCTGAATGTCAAAAATATTTTCAGAAGAAAGGCCATATTTTTCTGCCATTATTCTATATATTTTTAAAGGTTTCTTGGTCTGGTTTGGTCTACCTGTGTCAGTTGTATCAAACAAGACAATTCAACTCCTAGAGAACAGCTTTTAGTTAAATACCATACATTCTATAAATGCATCAATTTGACCCAATGACATTAACTTCTTTGAATATTCCTCAAAATATTGATTGTCCTGTTTGTGTACATGACTTACTCTGATTTCTTGAAGCTGTTACCTGTTAGGGAAAATAAATGCACAATCCAGTTAATAACTATTGTTAAAGTACATAATCTTCTGTAGATGCAAAACACAAACCCCAGAGCCCGATAGGACTGATCATTCCCAAGTTACACGCATCTTATTCCACTGATAGATCTAGCTAGGGACACAAATTGACATGGGTCCAAAAATTCCTTGGTAAATTTACATCAATTTATGCCTGTTTTCTCTTGAAGAAGTAGTTTCAAGTTTTCAATCTCCCAGATGACAAAATGGTTTTCACTAAATATATTATTCAGGACATTTGCTAAAGTCAGCACATTTTTATTGCAAAGTCCTAGCATTCAACTATTTCTCTTGGACACCGTTCCATCAAAGAATACTATTCTACTGGCAGCCCATGGATGATCTCTGACAGGAGGAGAGCTTGCTTTCAATCTTGCCTTCCAACAGCACAGAGATTGCAAATCCTGTGGAAGAGAAGCAGCTCTTCCCCTGGAGGGTACAGTGAACTTTTCACACTGATGTCTATTCTTCAGATACTCTCTAAGGAGCCACAGCTTAGAGAAATTGAATTATACTACAAAATATAATTATGCTGTAGGTCAACTCCTGAGTCCCCAGAACAGCTCCATTTCAACAGATATTGTTAAACACACCATACCTGAAGCACAGCTTGTGTTGGCAGAGGCCCCAAAGAAGTGCTATCGTAAGGGCTAATGAAGAAAATATTTGCTATACGTCACTTGAGATGACAACAAACAAAGAGCTAGTTTTATGTATACAATACAGTTTGGATAATCTAAGGGCACTGGGCATATGCACCTTGTTCATTTATGATGTGTTTGGCAGCTCAGCATCAGGTTAAGAACCACAGTATGCTTTTTAAGCTGTGCCTTCCTTTCTTCAGGTCTAGTGACAACACTGAGCATGCACAAGCCTGTCTCACAGAACAAAGACAGACGAACTTTGCATCACAGTTCACAGACGTTGTAAAGACAAATTTTGTGGGCAACCATGAATTTTGCCTATATCATTTTCCTACCCAGGGGAAGAAGGCTTTTCCACTGTCTCCAGGGTTTTGCATATCCCAAGGCAACATGTTAGATGGAAGCAGTCCGAGTCTGGGACGGAGGGAACAGCTCATTGCATCTCCTTTTGGGAGTTAATAAGATAACCCTATTTGGCTTCAGCTGACAATGACTTTACTGTTTTTATTCTGCCCTGTTAGCTATTAGGGGAAGATAAAAAGAAAAGATTCTTTCAATAAGGACACACGTGTATCCCAACAATCATAGACCTTTTCCAAAAACATTCTAAGGTGTAAAATCATTGTTACAAAGAATCACTTGATGTTAGAAGAGAGCTGGTTACAAAGGAGAAAGAAACATCTGATTGCAGCTTTTTGAAGTTTGGCAGCTGGTAACAACTGTAGTGGTTTGTAACCATTCCTGGAAGTTTCTCCAGGGTTTATCAGAAAAGTTAAGGCTTAGAGAAAGCTTCCTCTGCGGGCTGGTAAAGTGCTTTGCAGAAAATGAAGGAATTGGCTACTGGGAGGAAAGTGGGAAGAACAAGAGTCTGGTGAAATAGCTTTCTGAGTCATATCAATTTAGAGAGCAAAACAAGCATTCTCCAAAAGTGAAGAAACCCTAATCTATGAAGTTGGAGGAAAAAGAGTATATCAATGCTATTCAAGAGTGTGAGGAACTGAAGGCCAGCAGTTTTTTAAGCAGGAGAATTTGGAGTGATGTTACCTATGCTTAATTTGAAAGAAAGAAAGAGATGAGTAACAGTTCACACTGCTGCAATTGAAAAAGTAGAAAAAGAGGACAAAACATAATTTTTATAGAAAAGAAAATAATGCAGGGAAGTTGACAGAATTTATTAACCCTAAAGAAAAAAGCTATAGTAATCTTTGAATTCTCAGAAAATTTTGAAAGAGGAATTAAGTCATTTAGGGAAGAAACTTTACAGCTTGAAAAAAGCACAGAATCAAGGAAATGCTGAAGACCATTGTCAAGAAAATGAGTTTTTACTGGTATTGTGAAAACACAGTAAAAGTTAAGCCTGGGGAAACCTGATATTTGATTCAAGTGATGAAAAATTGCTCTGTAAAGGCTCCCAGCTAAAGCTGGCTCTTTACTACCCCTACTGTAGTGGTGGTCAAGAGTTGATCTGGGGATGGCTAATTCTTGTTAATATGTACAAAATATGGTTATTGAAAGAAACCTCACTTGAGATGAAATTAATAAGCAGAATGCCAGCAAGTCTATTCTCAAGGAAACTGAGAGACCAGAGGCAAACTCATTTGACAAGCAAAAACAACAACAACAAAAAAAGCAAAACACAAACAATGAAAAAAAAAACCACCTAAACACACTGGGTGGAAAAAAAAAAACAAACCACCAACCAAAAAAAAAAAAAACACCAAACAAAAAAAGCAAAACACCAAAAACACACCCCACACCAAAAAAAAAAAAAAACAACCAAAACAAACAAAAAAAAAAAACAACAACAACAAAAAGACAACTGTGAAAAGAGGAACAGCTTTGGTCCCAACAGGAAGTCTTTTGCCAAAATCCCTTAACAAGTAAAAGCAACAGATAGGTAAGACAAACTAGCAGACAAAAAGCAACCCAAAAAGCAATCTCCCAAACCAACTAGATAAATCTGAGCAATCTGGGAGTTCTAAGTGGTTGGAAGGGACAAACAGTTTTCAATCCAACAAGTAGAAAGACATATCCCCTTAAGATGTTCACTCCCTTTTCTCTCACTCCTCTACCAATATTAGAGCCCACAATAACCCCATGCATTGAAACTGTCTTTAGTTAGCAGCCTAAGTGAGAAGTTTTAAAAACAAAACACAGCAGGAGAGTAGGGAGATCTGTACTGCTTCAGCACAGAGACGGCTGCTCATTCCAGCAGGATGCATAGCAGTGTGCACGGATAGCAATATACTGGGGAGAGACGAGTCTTTCAGAAAACATTCACACTGGTTTCTCTCACAAGTCATGGAGCTGAGGTTGCAGCACTATGCTGCAGACTTTAAAATCAGCTGCGGAGTCTAGCATGCCAGTTTTGATTTTAAGAATACATTCAAGCTATGTGGAAAATAATTTCCTACACTATCTTCTTACCATCTGGAACAATAGATTTGAAGTTCCTAACAACAACAGACCTTTGAATCTGTTGAACATAATAATAATAATAATAATATTGATGTCCAATAGTATATGCGTTGTTTATTATTATTATTATTACTATTACTATTATTGTTTAGAAAACAGGCTATTTCATGCATGGTCTGAAGCATTTCATTTGGTCCTAGAAAAATGTTTTAATAAAAGCTTAAATATTCCAAGGATTAGGCTATAGCTGTCAGGGAACTTGAAAATACAAAATGTATGGACGTTTTTTGGAATCTGATGATATCAATGTGCTGGAATTCTTTTGTGAAACCTATCTACTCTATGTGAGGAATGTGTGCATTGCACTGTATTGCAGTTTATCTTCCATTATGTGCCATAGTTTTGCTTTCCTTTGTACCTTACATCCTTACATTTAGCATAAATATTTAACACCCCCTTGTGTTGGCTTTTCTCAATCATATAAATGGAACTCAAAGTATTTATCAGTTTTATGTCATGTTTCTCCTTGACTCTTACTCCGTTTAAGTGGCAAAATCAAAAAGTGCTATTTGCGAAGGAAAAATAGAAGAGGAGGAGAGCTGATAAGAAGGAATACAGATCTTCACACAGCAATGGCTCATAAGAATTCTGCCTGACAGAAGTATGACTACAGATAGATGTGTTTGTTGAAAGCAGTTCTAGAAATAATGGAAGACTGGACTTTTTCTTTTATTCTCCAAGTAATGGCCTTTTATTTGTACACCAAAGTGCTGAGTATAAAAACCTATGTAGATACCATGAACTTGAAAGGCTGATAACTTGCAGATTGTCCATGAGTAGGGATTGTTATATGCAGATTTTACAGAAAAGTTGCTTCGCAGGCAGCATGTGCATAACAGCAGGTACCACATAATGCTATACTTATTCCACAGACTCTTTGCCTTGTATTCTGTAGATAATTTGCTCCACTTAGGCCACCTACCACCTATTTTACATGCTGTATAAAATAAGGAGATGACTGAGGAATAGAATTCTTACCTTTGCCATCCAAGTCAAAAGCACAGTTATCCTCTCCCAATCTCTTGATACTACGCAGAACAACAGGGTCAGACATGATGATTAGTCGCTTAAATCAGAAGTTCTGAAGAGACATGGGGGCAGGGAGGAGCATACCAGCAAATGTTTTTCTGTGAACATAAAACATTATTATATTAAACTCCTGTTTACCTCAGTTTTGCCCTCATTATCCCAAGGCAATGCTACTGATTACAGCACAGGTTATAACAGAATACATGTTCCACAGTAGAAAAACACCTCACAGAAGCATGCCCAACTCACCCCAAATGCAGGGCCTCTGAAGTGCTCCAATACCACTCATTTTTTACAAATGATTTGCTACAGAGCCAGTTCTTTTCCAATCTGTGTTTTTACAGTTGATTAATCCTGCCTGCTATTGTCCATATTTAGTAGCACCTTACATACTTCAGTGCATTTTACCTGTTTGTTAAGGGAATGTCAACTCCTAGTACTGTTCTTCAGGGAACCTATAGTCTGTCCTACCTCTATCTTATGATCAACTTTATTAAGGATATTCTGCACTGTATAATTCACGTCATTATCAGTATTACCGGATTATATCAGAAGCAAGACAGACCTCTGCAGAACTTCTATCAATCAGTAGAGCCATTCATTTGGAAATTAGTTCATTGCTTGCTACCCTATGGGTGTAGCTTTTCTTGACTAAAAGTTTGTGATGAGCACAGCCAATTTATTCATCCACTGGTTGGTAAATTCCAACTCCCTCACACTCTGCAACCCCCTAAATTGTAATTCAAATTCTCTTCCTAAGTATAAAGCCAAATCACCACTGCAGCAGCAAAATATCTGGCCAGGACTAAAATGGTCACTTACAACATAAAATCATGGGTGCTTTTAATTTATGCCCTCATACAGTGAAACAAATTTACAATTTTAATCGTATTTTTCCATTCTCTGAGACAGATGATGTATGGGATGAACAAGTTATGGTACTGTATAAAGAAAGCTGAGCTAATAGATAAACTCCCAATTTTACACTGAAATTAGTGTAATTAGAAATGTCACCTTGATTATGTGTTCTGCTGCAGTCAAGAAGCAATGTTCCTACCTGTTCTGTTATCAAATCCAAACTTTAAGGGTGGTGTTGCACACATATTCCAGAGATTTAAAATACTTTACAACTTCACAGAAGTATAACCTATTGAAATTAAGTGATGGAAACCATTTGAACCATAGCACTGAATGTGGCTCCCAGTGAAAAGCTATGAATTGGTTAAAAAACACCCCCACTGCATTTCTGCTTCAGAAAGATAATGGATAATGTCATACAGTAAGCTGATGAAGAAGGCAAAGATAAGGAAAGCAAAGTCACTCTCCATCAGCTCCTTCTTATTTGACTTTGCAATCATAACATCTCTACAAAATTTTGTAAATGGAACACTGTAAAAATTGATCTATCCTTTAAATGCTGGTGCAGAACATCACGCTGGGAAGTCTTATTTCAGTGTTTGCTCTGACTCCGTATTTTAACACTATGAAATATATTTTGCAACTGATTTTTTTTTAAGCCTGAATGCTGGTGCAGATTTAAATGAAAGGAAAAGTGGGGGGAAAAAAAAAAACAATAATTGATAGACTCAAATAAGGATTCTAGTTCCAAACACTTGCTAGAACCAAACTTCCTGGAAGGATGTCAGTTGTCCAATAAAATTCTGACTGTCCCACATGTTTGAAAGAAAACACTCTTTTCCCGTATTTTCTAAGGCTCAACACATCAAATACTATTCACATACTATCCTGTCCAGCAGGCATCATTCTTTATCTGAATTGAACAATAGTATAAACAGATTAGCATGCTGTATTAGGATATTTAAAAGTGTCTGAATGTTTAACCAGGGATCACTTACAACAACTTGAAAAATACTGATGCTGATATCTGCATTAAAAATTATTTAAGTAATAGAAAGCAGAAATCATAGAAGATATTAGATAATCACATCTATGCCTGTGTGTGCAAAACATAAACTAGGAGCAGCAGAGAGTGCCCCAGAAACCGCACAAAAGTGAAAGAGTATTAAGGTGTGGCTGCTGGATTTTTGATAAATAAACATCTTTAAGGAACTAAAATCCATATTTAAACAAGTAATACTTGGAAAATGCTAACAAAGGAACAAATCCTGTAGGATGAAGTAACATTAGGATCTGATCCAAAGCCCTTAGAAGTCATTTTCAAAATGCATCTTTATTTAGATCAGATCTTCAAATAGTCCCAATCAAGTAAGAAATAAAATTAAAACGAACCAAAACCAAGCACTAACTGTGCAAAGAGAATTCAGCATTCAGTTTAATTTGTTCTGAAAGAAATACATAGGTAACCTTTCCATTGAGGAGGTTTCACCAGTTAACTCTGAAACATTAAACATGATAGATTTTTTACTCACCGTGGCTGTGAAAAATAGTGTATCATAGAACAAACTGCAAGTATCCTGTTCAATTAGTCAGTGAAGCACCCAACCACTTCCCATCATGTTTTCATTATTCTAACCCATTTGTGAGAACTGAATCTTTAAATTGAGCATTGGCTATTTGCACCTGGGTCAATAACCATGCGGTCACAATGGTTACAGTTCATTGACATCTAATGGAGGGTTTAAATTTGACTAATGTAATCTCACAACATGAAGTCAGGGCACTTGGATATCAATCATACTCAAGGAGAACAGAGGGCTCTCTGGGGTAAAAAAAAAAAAAACAACAAACAACTCACAATGAATATAGAGGAAGAGATTATTATAGCTTTATCACCATTAGTATACAATTACTTTATTAGCCATGCAATAATTCAATGTTCACTACTGCAGTAAATAGCAACATCAGCAGAATAATATGAAAACTGATTCAGAGATTAAGCTAAATTTGGATTAAACACTTGCTCAAAAGCTTTGTTTTCTAACCCACAGTCTGTACCTCTCCCTATGGCTTCTAATATTTTACCATTCTTCCTTCAAAATGAAGACTTTACAGCCTGGAAGCTACTGAGTAGTAGTGAATTCTTGCTGGAGAGGAGTCCTGCATGGATTTTTCAATAAAGGACATTGGTGATAATAAAGCTATGACCTCAGCCAATGTCACACAGAGTTTAGAGGGAAATGGCAAACATGGTTTAGTTCTCCTCTAAAATCAGTTCTCACTGCAGAGAGCCCTGACTGATAGGACAGGGTAGAAATGCAATGCATGAATCTCAGTGACTGTCAGCTCTGCTGAAGCCTTCTGTGCTCTCAAGTTTTCCATGAAAAAGCCTCATGTGCAGCATGATTAAGTGCAGATAAACAAAACTTCATTTTCCTTGCTTAGCATCATTATGGTGTTCACAGTCACAGCATAACCAAAAGCAAACCTGGGGTCTTCTCCCATTTTCTTAACAAAAAGGCGGCTACATATATACTAATGCACACAGCACAGCTTTGAGAATAACGTTATGTGAGACAATGTCACAGTGCTAATCATCTTGTCCACCTCATCACAGAGCCAGAGGGAAAAAACAGCTTCTCATCATGCAGGGCCCAGGAGTTTAAAGGCTGGGAGAAAAAGATGGTGGAGCAGAACTCAGCTTTGCTTCATCCTCCTCTGAAAGCTTCTTCAGGAGCAACATGGCTTAAAAGTCATGCAATGCCTTTGATTTTTACGGTTCTTGATCAGAGCTCACACTTGGCACGCAAGGAAGTCCCACACCTCCAGACAAGGCTTGGCTTGCCAGAGACAGAATATCATTTTAGCATTACACAAATTACTTCAGTCTTTTCACTCATCTAAGCATTCAGAAAGTGTGCACAGAGCCTGTTTCACCATGCTAATAAGGTAGATTAAGGCAGTGATGAGTTGGAGCTGAGACCCCCACCCTTCTGAAGGGCTCTGTTCCCTTCTAAACCTCCTTTTCTCTCAACTTATCCTTACAAAAAAAATCCTGAAGACCAATAAATTCTGACTTGACTTTCTGACATGAGCCATAAAATTTAATCTATGCTGAAAAATCATCCATGTAGAGAAAAGTGGAGAACATAAAGCACTCAGTTATGATCCTACTTCCCCTTTTACAGCTGCTAGTAGAAAAACTAACCAAAACCTAACCAAATCCACCCCATTTCCTCAAGTGTAATCCTTCTGGTCCTGTGAAGGGAAAACTCGGTTTCTGTTGCGCACTCACTCACCTCCTCTCACTCACAACCTCTCCACCTCGAGTGGTTTCCTCGGATGGCACCCTGACCCAAGGGGAGTGTCCTCGACTGCACACGCACCGCTGTGAGGAGGACCGACTCAAAATGGCTGCCAGGAGGGCACCACGTAGCCCCCTCACGGGCTCAGAACCCGACTTCCTGCCCCTGTCCCTGCCGACCGCCACTATGCAGGGGTACAAGAGCTGTGCGCAGGGGGATCTCTCCGGGCTTTTGTCTGTGGCGGGAGGCGGATCTTTCCCAGGTCTTCGGGCTTTTGTTGCCACAAACGCAAAGTGAATTTTACACTGAGCTTACGGATTTGTGGTATGCTATTAAAAATACAATTATGTCAATCTGGTGAGGTGCGCACGTACATTTTTCCCTTCAACAAAGCATAAATTCTGAAAAAGCTGCTGTCCTTTCCAAAGATCTTTGGCAAGTATTCTACACGGAAATCTTTTCTGCACCCTCTTGTTTCCTCTTTTGTTTTTTCCTCTTTTAATGGCAGGGTTTATCATTTTTGCTGCAAGCAAAACGATGTTCTTTGATAAGAAATAATCAAACTACGTTTCTTCATAATGAAATGGGGAATAGCAGATTCTTTCCTTACAGTGAAATAAGGAAAGTGCCTCTGGGCACAGTGGGGGTGTTTCTGTGAACATGACCTTCTCCAGGTGGGAGGCTAGCATGGTCTAAACTAAGTCCTGGTATATCTATTTCTTGGTCACAAAAACATGCTATACTGAAACTGCAAAATACTTCCTGGAGTAGGTCCAGCAAGGAGTTTGGGAGAAGGGCAGCAAGGGACTTAGCTCTATTAACTTGCCATGTTTCTATAGTTAGCCTCTCACCATCTGCTCTTCTGGAAAGTACCAGAAGCAGGACATGCACTCATCCCATTGATCCCACCCAAGTCTGGCAGCTGGTATGTTTTTTTCCGCCATTCCAAATACTTGTGGAAATAAAAATAGCAGAGATAGCAACAACAATTCTAAAAAAGAAACAAACCAAAACCCAAGAACCCTGTAAATTTTAAGTACAAACTGTAACTTTTATATCAAAATTATGTGATCCAGCATGTTAAAATTCAAAAGTTCTGTCAAATAATACCTCTCTGAGACTGCCAGCTCCTCCCTTCAGGCAACCAGCCCCTCAGTTACCTCACCTGTTCCTATTAGAAGCTGACATGTCCATGTGAGCCTCCTTCCACTCTCCCACCCACTCTCAAATGCCACCATTTGAACCCCTTTGGGGCTTCTGACCAACTGTCTCTTATCACTCTCCACCTGGAAACTAGAGAAAAACACAGTTTTTATCTATGCGTCCTTTGGGTTTTCCCTTTTTTGGTTTGTGGCCCCTATAAAAA